CTTGTAGAAAATTTGGTACTTATCTTTATTTGACAAAAGTACGTCGGACTTTCTGTACTAACTAATATAAAAAATTTTTTTTCATTCTTATTTTTTCTACGTCTAATATTTTAATACCGAATCTGTCGAAATGAACCGGTCTGCAGAATTCCTGGCAAGACGTTTCTCTCTCTTTCTCTCTCTCCTCTCTCTTCGTCTCTGAATCGCCGCTAACGATCGAAAACCGCAAGCGGAAAGTAACGAAAATTTATTCATCCAACTAAAACGTTCTCAGTGTTATTTTTTAAGTGTTGGATAAATATCGATCCGGCGTTTTATCCAATATCTAACAAAAGTATTTCCGTTTTTTTCTTGCCGACATTCAAATCGATAGTTTTCTACAAGTTAGGATTTGATAAAAAAAAGTCTTTCCCGAGTCGAAATATTAATTCTACATTGATCCTGCAAATTGCATCCAATTTGAAAAATCAATACAGAATATCTAGATGCGCAATAGTGAATAAGCTTTGTCCTACCTGAACGTTATATCTGGCTACTTTCGCAGTCTCGCCCATGATGAGTCTTCAACAGCGACGTATTCCGCAGTTATTTAATACTCGTTTATCTCGATAATGTATATGTACTTAATCCTTATATTCTTAATTTAAATGAGCAATTTTTGTTGATGTTGATTATATATTCGCTTAACAGCGCAAGAAAGAGAACAAAGATAAAAACGTAAATAGAACTGCTTTTGTTAGAACTGCGCGTGAGATAAATATATAAGGATTAAATAATCATATAAGAATTAGAGGAAATGGGGAGATGAAAAACACTTTTTATTCTCATCATTCTTAAAGTTCTTTTTTCCTGTTTTCTTCTCTTTTTTTCTTTTCTTTTTTCTAATGAGAATGATGAGAATTGTAGCTCTCAAAAGAGCTGTAGCTGCAAAAAGACAACGGTTATGTCTAATAATGCTATTTCACTAATAAAGATTTTAATTCAGATTCGGTACAATAAGAAAGATAAACAAGAATGAGAAACGAACATTCTAGCAGATTCTAAACGAAAACAGCAATCTGAGCATTATTAGACGAAGAAAAATCAACACTTGTAAAATGTATATCAGATTCTAAGATCATTATTCATAGTTTTCTAAATTATGTGCAATTTTTCATTGAGAACATAATTAAAAATTTGTATTCATAAACCTTAGATTGCCTCAGCAACCTTGCTTGAATAAACATTCATATTTTATGAGAAAAGAAAAGTAGAACTCATGTTACGTGAAATTAGGTTAACGAATAATCAAATCTCAAGCTATTTTATCATTTTTCAGATGATAAACTATGAATGCTGATCTAATTTCGACTCGGGTATGTCCTTACTTCGAGTAAGGTCCGTTAAAATCAGAAAAATCCTGCGTAATAATAATTACTCGAGGTACCTCGAATACCATACATGATGTATCGCTGTCCTCGGCTACGTCTCTCGGCGCGCTCCAAGTCCTCTCTCCATCCTGACTTCTCGATCCAACGTCCTCCTTCTGGTTCTGGTCCTCCGTCGCAGCATCCCCGGATACTCCATCGTAGCACTGGCGACGACACTGACTCTAGCTCTAACACTCGCGCAAGTAAGTTTGGGGACAAAGAAACGCGTATTAACCGATACGACTACCGACCGACACTTGTACTCTGCGTCGCGGCATGCGCGTCGTTCGTCGGCCCGAGGCGCAATGTCCTTTCCGCAATCACGGAGTCATATATAAGAGTACGAAAACAAACAATCGGGAAGGCACGGTTACCCCTCACCAGTCGCTGACATTGCCGATCAGTGTTGATGCCTGCGTCGTCCGTTAGCTGAAAATGAAAACAACTCGTGTTTTCAAAGCATGCCTGTGAGAGACTCGCTTCAAACTTCACAATACTTATTTACGTCTGTTCCAAGAATCATATTACGCCGAATTCAAACTGTCTCTATTGACATGACATACACGAGATCTGCGATCGCATCATTGATCTTTCTTTGGACAAGAAAATCCTGAGAGGAATGCTGTTCGAGAATATCACAATTTATGTTTCAGGTGCCTTGCAGATTATCGAATCCGATGTAACAGATCAAGGAAAGTATGAATGCGTCGCTATGAATAACACCGTGGGCACGGAGTACTCCAAGTCAATCACGTTATATGTGAAACGTACGTATATTTAATATTATATAAAACTTACCTTTTTAAATAAAAAGGTAAAGAAAAGGCGTCAAGTACAAGCGCAACACATATTGTGTTATTTTTGAAGTATCAAACTCAAATTATTTTTTTTATTGTATATATGTGTACATAAGTTTCCACAAGTAAAACTTATAACTATAATAAAACTCTGCAACACTTTTCTACTGTACAAGAGAAGTGATATATTAGAACAGTAGCGCCAACTGAGAAACCTAACATATATATATGATTATTGTATACTTAACTTAATATTTTTAGAAATCTCAAATTCAAATTATTTTCTTTTTTAAGATATATATTATGTACATAACATAAGTTTTTATAATATATGTATGTAAACTTTTAAAAGTAAAAATTATATCGTGTTATAAAAATTTAACACGTTTGTTACTAGTGTCCAATATTAAAAAAAGATATCTTTTTAAATATTATGTACATAACATAAGTTTTATAAGTAAAACTTATCAAATTATTTTTTTTGTAAGATATATATGTACATAAACTTTTAAAAATAAAAATTATATCGTGTTATAAAAATTTAACATGTTTGTTAATAATGTCCAATATTTAAAAAAAAATATCTTTTTAAAGGTTATGTTATTTAAAATATCCAAGAAAACCTAGCTACAAAAAGTGTCCATAACATAAATTTTTACAAGTAAAATTTATCATTATTTATTGGAACACTGAGTTATATGGTTATTTTACTTGTTATTGTAACAAATTAATTATTATAACAATGCAATAAAAAATATTTGATACAAAAAATCTTGGCGCGGCTGCACCAAAAACTATATCGAACTAAAACTTGTTTAATACATATATGAGAGCATTTTTATTATAATATATTCTATAATGAAGGTTTATAATTTATATATTATAATACTGTAATTATAATGCTGTATAAACTTAAATAAAACATTATACCGTATGTGTATAAAGAGAATTTACAAGAACATTTTATTACTGTAATATAATAAAAATGCTGTCATGTATGTATTAATCAAGTTTTAGTTCGATATAGTTTTTTAAAGTCAAATTAGATATCATTGACATTTCGTCAATTATAATAAAAATAACATCTTTGAATAAAAAAATATCAGAATATGTAGAATATACACACATTCGATATGTATATTCTATAGTGAAGGTTTATCATTTATTATAATACAATACAAACTTAAATGAAACATTACACCGTATATATATAGAGAATTTACAAGTACATTTTATTATAATTATATAATATTATAATTATAATTTATTATTATTATATATACGAGAGTAATTGCAGATTCATAAAGTATCTATGATTATTAGTCGGATGATGACGGATCGTAAATGCCGAGCGCGAAATTCCAACTTCTTATTCCCGGAAAATTCGTCAAACGTTAAAACGAAGGGCAAAAAGTGTCGTCGCTCGCGAGCCGATCAACACAATCGGCGCGATATAAACATTGCGGGCCTCGGCGGCAGTTGAAGCAAGAGAGACTTGCCCTTGGGCATCTTTTCTTTTCTCGAAGGTTCCGGGACAACGAGGCGAATGCGAGGAGGCCTTTCAACTGTACGCGACTTTGATTTACTACTTATTGATTACTGAAAATAAAGAAAATTATTCTGTCGAAGCATCGGATATTTGTTAGCTTTATGTTAATTAAAGAGGAATGTGTACGATTAGAAAATATGTTAGCAACTAATTGTACAGAATGTCAAAGTTGTTGTAATGCCGTTTTCGGAGAATAATTAAAGGTCATGGTAGCGTTAAAGAGTGGAATTTCATCTCATGCGGATTTTGTCTCGTTCTTATTAAATGTTAGATTATCCGCTGCGGACAATAACTCTTCTACTTTTCATCTAATATTCAATGATAATAAATAACATTTAATTGCATTCGTTTGACTTTCTTTATTTCGAAAATAAAATAATATATACCAGGGTAAGATTTCACCCATGACAACATCAACATGATTTTCTTTGATGCTTTTTTTAAAAGTTCAAATATTTCGTTGACTCGCGATATTTATAATCGGAGTCTCGTCGCGTTAATTAACATGTGCTCCTCCGAGCGGATCGAATGCTCACCGACGGCTACTGTCAGTGCCACGATGTCAGAGCGAATGTCCGGAGCGGACGGGATGCTGAATTGAAAAGCAGGACGAAGGGAACGGGACGAGGACAACGATATATCATGCGTCTCCAGACGTATCAAATCGTTTATTATACAGGAGACTTTGATACGGCAACATATATGTAGAGGATTTAATATTTAATATGTAATATGTACTATGTAATATTTAATATATAATATGTACTATGTAATATTTAATATGTACTTTTATTTTTCCTGCTCCTCCCTCCGTTGTTTTAGACCTTCGGGCATAGTCTGGCATAGAGATATTAACTATGGTTGCAGCACGGACATAAACCGCCTGAAAGTTGATGTAGCACGGACTTCCACCATATGCAGATTTTACCACCAAGACCTAAAAGTGGATGTAGCATCGTAGTTCTCCTCTCAATATGGATGCAGATGGCGCTTATTTCCAGTGCGAAAAATCGGTGTCGCCGAAAACGCCGTTTTGGCCGCTCTCAGCTGCAGACCCTTAAAATGAGAAAACTGTATATTTCAACACCAAAGGAAGTAAGAACGAAGGAATCAAGTGCGAAAAATTCAAGCAATGCAACATATTTATTATAGTAACGATATGTTTATACAATATTTTTATATCGTCGGTAATTTATATTGCCATAATTATCAAAATATAGTATGGTAATAAATATTCGTGTTGTCTTCAGCGCGTAGTTATCATCGCTCTTCAATTACTTCTGGGCACTTTGGGCCCCCTTGCTAATACCAAAATTTACCCAAGGCTGATAGTCTTTAATATTACCTCGTCGGTGAAAGCGTTTGGTAATGTTCGAACTTCGACTTGTACGTTATCGTTTATAATTTAATCGGTTATTTACGGTGTGCGACTAAATGTACAAATATAAATTACATGATGAATAAATCTCATTTATTGGAGCTTTAACGTGCGTAACTTAGGTGACATATAAACGAAGATTCTTCAACTCGGCAACGAAAGGTATATCTTTCCATCAGAGGTTATACGTGTAATGCCTTTAACCTAGAAATGATTTTAAAATCGACATGTCCGAATGCGATGAACCATTATATCATTATATTATATGGTTAAATAGAATTTAGCAGATTGGAGAAGCACTTTCATAGAAGAAAAAAATCAAATTTAACATTAATCGTACGTGAGGTTACAAATCTTTTTAACATAGCTTGGAATTCTATTTTTCTCTTTTGTTAGCCATTATAAACAGATTTTGAAAAAGCAATGATGCATTCTGTTTTTTCGCAAACAGAATTTCTTAGCACGGCTTGATATGATTACGTTACGAGGCAAATTGAAGAAGGATAGTGATGTAGCAAATTCAAAGAATAGAGATTTCAATAAGCGAGTCTCTGTACGTGATAAATTACTGGTCAAAGAGGTACTTGACACAGTAGTTATTTAGTCATAGTATATAAATATTGGTTCATAATTAATATACAAATATTGTTCTATTTAGGTGCAAGAGATGGAACAGACGCTGCCAGCTACTTGTCAAGTTTCGTTCAACGATCCACATCGACTCCATGAATTTACGCTTTTAATTGTACCAGATGAAGGATATTGGATCGGTGGTCGTTTCTATTTTCAAATTTACATACCTGAGGATTACAATATGGCGGTAATTTTGTAATTAATAATTTTATAATGTTGAATGGCAGAAGCATTTTATATTAAGTTATAATTTAGATAACTAAATCTGCAAAAACATTTTGCATAATGCCATGATATAAAATTTTTGTTAGCAGCGTAGTAGAGAAGATATAACAGGATTTACTAACCGATTATAATGGTAGATTAATGATAAATTGATGGTAGAAACAATGGTAGAAGCAAAGTTTTCCTTAACTATTTAAATACATTTAAGTGCAGCATATCACAGATCCTGCTCAATTTTAGTTGCTTATTTGTTGTCCTGATTTCCTGTTTGTTGTTGGTTTTATATTCACATTCTGTTCTAATAGAATATATGGATATAAATAACTATAAATTTACCACAATATTTTAACCAAGTCTACTTAAGCTACTAGCATATTGCTTAACATTTTACTTATTGACAAGATATATTAAATGAACATTTTGCAGCCACCAAAAGTGAAATGTCTAACAAAGTTGTGGCATCCTAATATAAGTGAGGAGGGTGATGTCTGCCTTTCTATATTAAGGCAAAGTAGTCTTGATGGAATGGGGTGGGCGCCGACTCGCAAGTTGAAAGACGTTGTCTGGGGTTTAAATTCCCTCTTCACTGTATGTACATAACTATTTATCGTCATATAATTTAATTTGAATTGCCGATTGTATACATTGTATTGTTTCAGGACCTCCTAAATTTTGATGATCCTTTGAATAAGGATGCAGCAGATCAATTTATTAAGGACAAAGAGTCGTTTCGAACTAAAGTTAGAGATTATGTAATGCAATATGCAAAGAGATGATCTACATTGTAACATTTTATGTCAAACAATTATGAAATTGATTGGTTTTGTTCTTTTTCTGGGTGAACAAGTGATGTGATTAAAATTTTCCTTAGGATAGTACAGGCAATAGATAAAAAGTTGCAAAATTTCTTATCTATTGTGACCCTTTATCTATTAACTGTACATGTTTTATCCTAGTTTCACAAGTTTTGCTAGTCTATTTTACTGCAGAGAGATTATCTTTTTCTGGATCTGCATAACTGAATTAATGGGTTGTTATAGCGAAATTTTGTTAATGTGTATACTAATTATACCAATACTGAATCTAAGAAAAGAGGATTTTGGAAATGCATCACGTGTACAATAATGTTTGTCCTCTTCAGAATATTGTAATGCTAACGCGGCATCTGTAAATAAAGTCGATGTTTAATAATATACACAAATCATAATACATATCGCCCTCAACGATGTACGTGTCCAACGAATAAAATAATAGCTTGTCACGCGTATCAGGCATTTTTCTCAAATATTTATTTATAATATTCGTACAACGCGCGCGCGTAATCGACATTTTTTTGCTGAATCTCAAAAAATTCGATCTGCACTTCGTCTCGTCGGGATGTGTGGAGCGTAAATCACTCGTATTATACTCGTCGAATTAACGGACGGCTGAAATTCATCATATGTATACGTGTGTGTATGTGTGTGTATGATTTAACCGCCAACGAGACCCGTCAGCGAAGCATTGACAATCTGACAACAATGGTCTCCGTTATAATTACAATTTGTAACAAATAAATAATAACAAAAGAGAAAACGGAGAAACAGCGTCTCGCGTCTCTCGATTTCTCATTCTCTCATTCTTCGTAGACAGACTAGGCAACGTACGCGAGATGGTATGATTGCATATTTGCATATAATGTGAATGTGTAGCATGTGTATGTGTGTATGAATGTATAAGTACATGCATGTTATGTATGTTTTGTGAATGTGTGTATGTGTATGTGTATGTGTGTGTGTTAAGGCAAATGGAAAATCGTAGTTTGATTGTTAGAACGTAGTGCGTAGCTCTTCTTGTATACTGGTCGACCTGATAAGCTTCTGTTTGGAGCCCAACAGACTTTCGCTCGCTAGACTATCGCTGTCGGAAGCTAGTTTCGATTTTTCTCCGTGGTACTCTTCATTGTACTCTTTCAGCCTGTTGCCTAGGAACACAGCCCTCTCACGTTTCTTGATCATGTAATCGGTCGGTAATAGCCATCTGTGGTCGTGGCATTCTTCCGTCATTGGTCTTTTACTGAGGAAAAAAGTAGCGCGATTATATATTTTTTCATATATATAAAAGACCCATGCGCAATTAACTTTAGTTCAAAGTGTTATGAACGTCAAAATATTTAGCGACAAATTTGTGGATAATTGAACGTTCGACGAGGAAAGTTCGTTAAAAAAGAAAAACATTTAAAATATAATGATCCTGCTTGCGAATAAAAGGTCGTAGACCTCTTTAAAGAATCAGTTCTACGAACCTCGGCGCGCGCTTGAAGACCAACATGAGGAACCTCGTGGCCTCTTGACTCAGCTCTTTGAAGAGATATTCGAATCTGTACCTGACGAAAGATATGTTCTGCCGGGTCTCGTCCGCGTCTTTGCCACGGAAGGGCGAGACTCCGGACAAGAGCACGTAAGTCAACACTCCGACCATCCAGATGTCTGTCTGAGGGTACACCGGTTCGTCGTTGTACAGCTCGGGCGACCTATACTCGTGATGACCGAGTTGCTTCGGCACCTTCGTGCCCAACCTACTGACTTTGTGAGCAGAGCCCATGTCTACCAGTTTCACCTGCACCGATCTCACGGATGACATCACCACGTTATCCGGCTGGATATCTAGATGGCAATAGCCCCGCCAGTGTAGGTACTGCAGACCGTCGAGAATCTGCGTGATGGCGTTTGCCACGCAGTTCTCCGTATATTCGTGCCTGCTGGAGAAGTAGGTGAGTATATCTGCGCCTTGGAGCTTCTCCATGACGAATATCGCGATCGGCATGCCGGAGACCTTATACGCTGCCTCTAACATCGCTACTCTCTCGTGCCGCAGCGAACGCAACGCCTCGTACTCTCGGTTCACTTGTTTCTCCGTCTCGGGGTTCAGCTCGAGGATTTTAGCGACAATCACGCGATCGCTGCTCTTGTCCACACCTTTCAACACTGCGGAGAACTGGCCACGCGACAGCTCCGAGATGAAGCTGTACTTGTTGGACAACTGCGGCTCTACTGACCATTCTATCGGTCGCTCCTCCACGGAATAGTCGATGTGCTGTTTGTCCTCTTCCAGAACGATCTCCTGGCCGGTCTCGGTGAGCTCTTGGAGGTGCCTCATTGCGCGCGTGATTTGTACCTTCGGACAACCCGGCGGCCGAGTCTTGATCAGCTTCGAAGGGATGCCCTTTTCGCTCCAGCCGATGCGGTTGCGCGCCGCAAGACGGAAATTGTAACTCGTGTCTTGCTTCAGGTCGCGCACCAAGTAGAACTCATGGTCGATGTTGGAGCCGACGTCTATCCATGCGATCGAGTCACCTTCCTTGTATTGAAGATTATAACACAATACGGGCGAGTTGCCGTCGTATTTGGGCTGCTTCCAACGCAGGAGCACCTCAGTGTCCGACACGTCGGAAGCCTGCAAGGTCGAAAATCCTTAGTATCCCAAAGGTAGAATACTTCTAAAAAAGGTGTATTCTTTCTTCTTACAAAATATTTATTTTACTATAAAATTTTCTAATTCTTTAAATAAATTAAATTAAAAATTAAAGAAAAATATTGTAAAATTAAACATATCAATCGCAATAAGGAGCAATTTTGTGCTGAAGAAGAGAAATGTACACATCACTCGTTGAGTTTTTGACTTGTGAAAAGAAATTATTACTTTGACAAATTATATTACTACTTTTTAAATTATTTGAAATCGAATTTTACATTTAATTTAGTGATTTAAATTGTATAAATGATTGAATTAGAGAAGTAGAGAATTAAAAAAAAAATTGAGAATTATTATAATTCTCTCCAGTTAGAAAATTTCATATTAATTTTTAATTTTTAATTTTAATTTCCTAACAATGTTTTGACAATTGTACGCGGCTTCATTGCGCATCTCGCAGATTTTAGTGCATGTTTACCTCTGGAGAATCCGGACCGAAAGGAACAGTCGCTAGTAGCACTCTAGTTCTAACAACTGTTTGTCCTATCGGATTCCTCGCCACGACTTTGTATATACCAATATCGTGTTCTTTCGTGGGGTTGAAAGTGAGTATGGACCTTCCCTCGGCGTCCTCCATCACTTTGATCCGATTGCTCTCCTGTATCACCATGTCATTCTTGAACCACTGTATCAGCGGTTTCGGGTCGCCCACGACGAAGCAGACAAGTTGTGCCGGTTTGCCTTCCTCGATTGGGCAGATCTGCGGCTTCTCGCGGAAGAACGGCGGTTGACCCTCTTTCTTTGACCCGATCATCGCCTCAGCCTCAGCGTAACTGTCCAGTCGAGTGCCCAGCTCATTCTTCAAACGCCTGAGCGTATACGTGTCCGCCGATCCGTAGCGATTAATGCGCGCCCGTCTCTCATCGTCGATCTCCTCGTCCATGACGTCCGTGAATCGACGACGTTCTCGAATAATGGGTGCCTGTAGCAGCAACAAAACGGAGAATTTAAAAGGAATATTTGGAGACCGCGTTTGAAGATCCGTCGCGAATGGTGTATCCACCAGGACACAAATTCACACCGGAGCGTAACGACATTGAACGTAGCGATTGTATTTACCCTCCAGTCAAAGCTATTGTCTTCAGCAATAGAGCGCGAGAAACCGGGACTGCGGTCGCACGCGACTTTCATGTATTCGCGTAGTCGTACGGGGAAATCGGTATCTCGCAGTTGGAGGAGATACGTGTCTGGTCCGTTTTGGTAACTAAATGAAATACAATCGTTTCTTTATATATTTCTTTAGATAACATTATAGATAACATTACGTTCGTAAGGATCTTAATAGAAATGTTAATTGTTATTTGAAAAAAAAATTTATATTTAATTCAATTCAATTCAATATTTTTATATAAAAGATATCTAGTTAAATTGAAAATTTTATTTTAATTTGGATTGGAATTTATATTAAATTTGGAAACTGAAAACTCGATTGAAAAATTGCGTAAAATATTTCTGTAATTCAGTTAGATAAAAGATTCAATTTTCTATTTTGTTTGAATTGCAGAGATGATTTATACAATTTGGTCAATTAAAAATTTGTTAAATTATTAGCTAGAATTTAGAGATTATGAGAGATTTGTGGCTTTCTAAAGATTTATTAAACCATAACTGTCGAGTGTCATCTTACTGGCTCTCGCTCTTGATAATTCCGATCTCCGTGTCGATCGGCTCCCTGGACGGCACTTGATTCTCCCATGTCCTAGTCGAGGGCTTCTTGACTGGGCTGTAACTCCTATCAACGCTAGGCTCCGGTGTGAATTTATGTCCTGGTGGATACACCATTCGCGATGGATGTTCAAACGCGGTCTCCAACTTGCTTCTGCGATACCACGTGCGGCAGGAAGCGTTGCTATACCAATCGCTGTAAAAATATATTCCTTGTAAATTATAACGTTGTCAATCGTATGTAATTATTATATTTTATAAATTTTTTCTATTATTTTACATAGAAAATTAATACTGTTAAAAAAAACATGCAATATTATAACATACTCGTTTATAGATGCATTTTTTTAGAGTATTATTAGGATTCACTTGCCGGTAAAGTTTATAATAATTCTTCAAGTTCTCGGATGGTATTCTGTAGGGTTCCGGTGGCAAGTTATCAATGTAGTTAAACCATGGATGAGCCAAGGCGGTCTTGATGTCCATCCTCGCCTCGACATTGTACGTCAGTAGGCTGCGGATGAAGTCCTGTGCCTCGTTCGAGATGTTTTTCCATCGGTCATCAAAGTCCCATTTGCCGCTTCTGATCTTCGTCAATGTCTCTCGGTCGTTTGCGCCTCTAAACGGTGAAATACCCGATAGTAAAATGTAGGTGATTATACCGACAGTCCACATATCCGCAGGATAGCTGACGCCCTCGTTATTGGTCACTTCAGGTGCAACGTATTCTGGCATACCATATGCCAAGGTCATCAGCTTCGTATGCGAAATTTTGCGAACAAGTCCAAAGTCGCAGATCTTCAGGTCATCTCCACCAGCATGGGAGATCAGGAGGTCGCCGAGCTACGAGAAAAAATGATTATTAATTAAAGGAAGATTAAAATTAAAATTAAATTGGAGAGAGAGGATTAATTAAAATAAAGAGTAAATTCAATAAAAAACTAAGGAAAGAATCTATAAAATATTTTGGTTAAAACATGAATTGTATAAAAACAATCAAATTTTTTATATAAAAACTTCAAGTTTCATATACCGTTAGACCAAGATGTGCGTAATGATTCCCATGCATATATTCCAATCCCCATAATAATTGGCGTATGTAACGAGCGATGTCTATCTCAGTGTAAAATTCTTGTCTCGTGAGAGTGTCCACTAACTCTCCACCAGCCGCTCTGAGTTATCGTTAAGAACTTTTTTTTTAATATTTACAATCTTAAAATATCTTACAACCTTAAAACGTTATATCAAACAAATAATATAGGGCCAATCAGATAATCGTGATATCGTAACGTTTCTCGATAATAATAAAAATACTAATGACTGTAAGATTTAAAAATAATAATTAAACTACCTAATAACAATTACAAAATTATTATAAAATAATGATATTAATCAATAATTCTAATAATTACTATTATTAGTTTTTAGATATTAATTTTTATATCGCAGTCACGATCATTTTAATATCATTTTAATTATCCTGATTCATATGATGTATAAATATAAATATGGATATGGTAATAAAGGATACAGTTCCGTAACGAGTGTAACTGAATCGTTAGTCTCGAAGGCGTCATGCAGTCGCAGCAGCTTGCGATGATGCAGATTGTTCATCGCTTCCATCTCATTGTACATGAACGGCTTGAGATCACCGCGGCCATGCATAACTTTGGAGGCGTAATTTCTACCAGTGTTTCTCTCGACCGCATGATACGTGACACCTTGCGTGCCGCGACCGAGCTCGTCGCCCAAATCGTAGTAATCACCGAACGGTTTCTCGCGCGACTGTACGTCCATCTTTTTCCCGTACGTTCTGTATCCGTATTCATGCTCGTTCTCTTCTACATGTAGTATCACCGAACAAGATACCGAACCGGCCACATTCCCTGCGCTGATTGAGTAAAGTCCTTCGTCCTTCGTAATGGCCTCATTAATGATGAGGGTCGTGGTATCGGGTTCGGTGAATTGAATCTATTATCAAGAAAGAAACCTTACCTCGAGAAGATATATCTTTACATAATTACTAATATTCATATTATTAAAAAATTCAAAATATATTACATTGCATATACTTCTAATTATCTCTTTGTAATTTTATATTATATTACATATATATATATATATATATATATATATATATATATGTAATGCAATGTATCTGGAATTTTTCAATAACACAAACATTAATCATTACAATATAAGATAACTTGTAAGACAATATAAGATGAAAAATAGTAACTGTCCACTTAATCACTATAAAATAATTGAATAATATAACATTAATTTTATATTCTTTTTATATTTTTATAATTATGTTTCTCTCGAGTTTATAATAGCCTAATAATCGAGCCTAATAATAGAATTAATTGTTATTACTTCGGTATGTATATGCCTTTTTAATACAATATGCCAAGTTATGTGCCGATATTTTCTTCTTCTTGCATGTAATAGAGTGTATAATAGAATGAAATTAAATGAGCAAACCCTGATTCTAGAAGATGAAGCGATAGGTTTCCAATCCTTATACCACTTGAGCTCCGGATAAGGCACGCCGGTGACACGAGCGACTAGCTGGCCGGTTCTTCTCACCATAACGATGGTCTCATCGGGTCTCTCAATGAACGTGGGATACTCGGCGATCTTCAAGATCACTCGCTGTCTGGCTTCGCCATGCTCGTTCGTAGCGACAGCCTCATAGACACCCTCGTCCCTCTCGAGCATCCTGTTGATGAAGAGAGTCGCCTGGCCGTTCCTAGTGTAGCTTTGGTCGTATCGACCGCCCGACTCGATCAGTTGCCCGTTGAAGTAATACGTCATCTTCGGCTTGGGATAACCGTAAACGAACCAAAAGAGGTTGCAGTTATGGTTCTTCACACCGTATTGGGTGTCATACTCTTGACGCAGGAATCTGGGCGCCTGAGCGTAGCCGTCGTGAGGTGGTCGCTCGATGTCGAAGTCCTTCGGGAAGTAGGGGCTGGTCTCAGGCCGAAAGTCGATACCGGGCGGTAAATAAGGGAAGAACTTGGGTGGTTCAGGCTCTAATTTGGCGCGGTAAGTTTGTGCGAAGGGCGACGGGTCGCTGATGCCATATTTGTTCTCCACGCGAATGCGGAATTTGTAGTCACGGAACGGCTCGAGGTTGCGAATATCGCAGACACAGCTGCGAATACCGCTGCGTGCGGTGAACCAGTCGCCGTCTGGCAACTCGCACATCTCCACCAAGTAAGTCACCGGCACTCGCGGCCCGATCGGGATGGACGGCTTCCAGGAAAGGGTGAGATGACGGTCCATCATACGGCTGATGATCGGACGGTCTGCCAACGGCAAGGGTACTCCGGACTTTCGGTACTTGTCAAAGTCTGCGTACTGGTCGGCAAGAGGTTTCTTCGCTCGTGGTTCCAGAGCTGGAATTAAAGAACGTGTGTTTGGAAGATCTTACGAATTATTGTGACTTTTGAAAATTTAGTGAGCAAAATATCATCGATGGAATGTTGTTACAACGACGTGCAATAGCGTGTAGCATAGGCTTCAATATTCTATCAACATCATCATGATGTTAATCTAACACTTCTCTTTTATTGAGAAGTTTTTATGAACTTACATTCATAAACCATCTCGGCGCTGCAAGAGTCTTCACCGTGAGGATTGGAGATCTTCAGCATATACTTGCCGGCATCCAGCTCGTCCACGTTAGCAATCGTCAGTCGCAATAGACTACCCTCCTGATCCATCCTGATGCGATCGGTGGGCCAGAGTCGGTCACCATTGCGATACCATTCAAAATCAGGCTCCGGATATCCGGTGACGCACGCGGTGAACTTGGCGGGCATGCCTCTGTAAACTTCACAGTCACCGATCCTCTTCAAGAACGTCGGTGGTTCAACCTTCTGCTTCTTCTCACTGAAATTATGAATTATACAATGTGATACAAACTTACCAATTGCTCTTTTAGAGACTTTACCATTTTCTATAATAAATAAAAAATGTAATATATAAAAGCTTTCTATTCTCTTTTCCAAGATTATATTCTAATTTTATTAGATTATAAAAAATTTGATAAGATATCTTTTTTGTAGCTAAAGTTATTGTTGTATAAGAGATTTTATAATTATACAAATATAAAATTATAAAATTTTATAAGATTCTTCTTGATAAAAAAATTTAATCATAATTTAATTATATTTATATATATCTATAATAATAATTTATTAATAATTTGTATAAATTAAATTTATATAAATCAGATTTAATTATAAAATCATAAGAGATTTGTAGAATTATTCTCCTTAACAAAAAAATCGTTATAGGTCTGAATAAAAAAGACAAATCTCACATCTTGTCCACCACAGCCAAGTTCGCCACACATTCCGCTTCGCCGCCTTTATTAATTGCCTTGCACCTATACCGTCCCGAATCGTCATAAGTGCAGTCCTTCACATACAAACAACAAGCGTCGCCGTCGCGTTTGATCTTGTACTTATCGTCGTCTCTCAAAATCGGCTTGTCGTTAAAGTACCAGGTGATTTCGGGATGCGGTATGCCGGTGATACGTGCCGGGAACTTGGCGTCGAAGCTGGGCAACTGTTGCAGATCCGTGAATCTCTGCGTGAAGGTCGGTGACTGGTACACTTTTCTGATGATAGCGTTCGCGCCGGTGGTGTCCTCGCCGAGCGGATTGCTCAGTTTGCAACTATAGGCGCCTGCGTCCTTGACATTGCACGGGTTGATCTCCAGACCGACCTTCTTGCCGTCGCAACTCATCGTTACGCGTTCCGAGGGCTTCAGTGACTCGCCATCCTTCGTCCAGCTCACGTCGGGAATCGGATTGCCGACAAACAACACGTCCAACGTCAACGGCTGACCTTCTTCGACGGACACGTCGCGCATGGGATTAGTGAAGACTGGCTTCTCCTCTGGCGTGTCCGGTCTCGTCTTAGTAGAGACGTCTAGCTTTGCTTTGCAAGACGCGGTGCCTTCCGTATTGCCGGCTACCACTTGATATTCGCCTATGTCTTCTGGTGTCGTCTTATCGAGAACTAATGCGTGACTGCCGTCTGGCTGGCTGACGATTTTTATGTGTTGATTATCGGGAACAATCTGGCGATATAATGATCTTGTCAGATAGGAAAATCAATCTAAAGATATTTAAACATTTTCATTGCGTTACAAATCATATATAACAATGTCGTAATTTTAAATACGAGATAATACACAATTAACAATGTATAATTCAATATAGTGCTTTAACAATGTTACATTATGTATGTAATATTGTTATATGTGTAATATATATTATAATATTATGTCATATGATAATGTTATAAATGTATCATAGTAACCTCATCGCCATTTCGTAGCCACTTGAGTTCAGGCGTCGGTTTCCCGATGGTTTTCACTTCCATCTTTACCGGGAAACCTTCGACGACAGTTTGCGGCTGAAGACTCGCGACGAACTCTGGTCTCTTCTCTTTCTCCTCCACTGCTACCTTGGCCGTGCCAGTAATTTCACCGAGTGTGTTGGACACGATCAAGGAGTAGGTGCCTGCATCCTCCGGACGTATGTAGTCGATCTTCAAGCCGATCAGACCGTTCGGCTCATTCACGAAGTACATTTCTTTCGTATGCCTCAACGGTATACCATCTTTGAACCATTGCACCTGTGGATTCGGGAATGCTAAAACTTGAGCTTCCAGTTTCAGCGGTTGCCCAACCACAGCCTTCGCGTCCTCCAACGGCTTCGTGAACGACGGTTTCCTTCGTGTGGCTGTAACGAGCGCGATTACTTATATTAATAATCTGAATTACTCGAATTAATCGAATTATAAATCGTTAATCATTTTAACGTAATATTAATGTTGATTTTATCAATTCTACATCAATGTCAATTTTACTTTCACGTTCATGTCAATCTTAATTTTTATTACCCTAATCTTACTTTAATATTCATGTCAATTTTAATTTTCATTATTTTAATTTCATATTTTAATATTAATATTAATTTCAATTTACCAAGAGACACACGAAGAGAGCTACTTTTGCCGTGCCAATAATTAAATCAGTATCAAATCAATCTTTCTATTTCACCTGAATGAATTCACGGGATTCTTTCGCTAAAGAATTAAGCTTTGTGGAAAAGAATTCGCTCACGTGTGACGGCGACGGCGCAGAGCGAGGAATTGCTGCCGCTGGAGTTCGAGACGACAAGCTTGTAAGCGCCACAATCGGTGGGCTTCACGACGTCGATCGTGAGTTTCGTGATGCCATCCGGTAAGGTGGTCTCCTTCACGTGATCATCCGGTGTGATCTTCTCACCGTCCTTGAACCAAGCGACATTCGGTATCGGACTACCTTCCACCTTAGCCTTCAGCTCAAGCGGCTCGTCCTCGTCGACCTCCATCGATCTCGGTAGCGTTGGCCGGCCGAACGAAGGCGCGGTCAACATCATCGATAATTGGCAGCTGGTTTGTGTGGTGCCGGCAATATTGCTCGCCTTGCACGTGATCGTGCCGGCATCGTCCGCGGAGAATGTCTTGATGGAGAGGATACTGTCCACTATGTTGTCTATATGAGTCACCAACTGGTGCCGATCATCCTCCTTGATGACCTCGCCGTCTTTCAGCCAAGTGACGCTCGGCTTCGGGATGCCAGTCGCGCGAATCTTCAAGTCGATATCCTCGCGATCGTTGCACTGCACCTTCGAGAGATCTTTCAGGAAGGTCGGAGCTTCGGCTGTGAGAAATAACAATCTTTATACTGTGAAGGTGTAACTTAAGAAAAATGATACCTTAATTTCGAATTTGGGGATCTATAAAACATGCATCTTTGGATTTTTATGTAGCTTCGATGTACAAGACGAAGCGTGTAAAACCTAAGAAGTTGAAGAGTTATATCTGTTGGGTGCATTTCTTTCTCTCTATTTCACTGAAAGAGAGCTTGATATACTTACTGTGAGGCGTTAAAGTAGCCTGAGCGCTAGCTTCGCCTAGATAGTTCTTGGCCACAATCGTGTAAGAACCGCCGTCTTCGAGACTGAGCTTCTTGATGATAAGCTTATATTTGCAATTTCTCTTGTCCTCCTCCATGTCATGTCGCTCGCCCTTCTGCAGCTCTATGCCGTCCTTCGTCCATGTAATCGTGGGTTTCGGATTGCCCTTGACGATCGCTTGCCACTCCACTCGCTCGTCCACCGACTCGCTGTGATCTTTGAAGCTGTCGACTTCCGGTTTCAACAGAAGACTCAGGAACGCCTGGACAGGTATAAATCTCGATTATTATCAGTTGCTCAAGGTGTCGTGTCAGTTCATCACTTACGTTAGACTCTGCTCCGCCCCACTTGTTTATCAGCCTCAAACTATATTCTCCAGTATCTTCCTTGGTGCATTTTGGCACTTTGAGCGTAACTTTGCTCTCTGTCAACTTGTCCGCTGCTGGGCCACTAATGATGGTCGATTTGATTCTAGAATCATCCGACGGAATCTCTTGGTCCTTGTAATACCTGCAAAACATATCTCCATGCGATCAATAATGTTCTTCAGCTATCGAGAAATAATAGATTCTGCCCAGATCTTGCGCACGCACCATCTCACATCCGGAATTGGATCAGCCGTGAAGACGGCCTTGAACTCCCCTTCACCCTTGAGGGCAACGTCGACGTCACTGAGAGGCTCGGTGAATCTTGGCTTGCGGAGATCGTCGACCGTGCCGACAGATAGGTAACCCTCTACGGTCTCTTCGCCCAATTTGTTTGTCAAGACGCACGAGTAGACACCCTCATCTTCAAGAGTGGCTTTGCTTAGGTCCATCTGATAAGTCTCTCCGGATGTCTCGATCCTCACCCGTTCGCCAGATCGTAGGATTTTGCCATCCTTCATCCACTTTGCATCTGGCCTCGGCAACCCGGAAGCCTTCACTTCGAACTGCGTATTCTGCGTCTCGAAGATCGTTCGGTCGGTGAGATTCGTGCTCAGCACGTGAGGTGGTGCTGCGTAAATAGACAAGAAGAATGAGCCTCCATTCGCCGGAGGATTAATAAAGACGAAGTCTATGCTACTACGTTCTTATTTTGGAGAACAAAAGATATATATGATGGAAGACGGACATAAGCTGAAACTCGGCGTTCACATCTAGTACCACTGTGCTCATACCCTTGCTGCTCAGTTATCAGGCTGTGCTTTTTTGTCATATCTACGGGACAACATTCTAATGGGGTGATATACTTACCTAGAAACGCTCATAGTTAAGTGGGTGCTCGGCAAGCTGCGTGATGAAGATTACAAAATCGACCAGCACTGTTTAGAGTGAAAGCCGCAATCTTACCTCGATACACAGATCTTTCAAGACGATGAACAGAATAGCAGCGTGATGCTGTAAGTCAATGTCGCATAAGACAATGTTTTAGGGACACAGACAGTTAATTAATATTGCGCGTGGAAGCGTAATTGTAAGATATGTTAATATAAATGTTAACAGAAGTATGTGTATGTGACATAACAAGGTGATCTTAAGAATCTACAATAATGTCTATACCATAAATATTAATTATTAAATCCTATGAATCTCAATTTTTTGTTTTGGAAAATTAGTGTTATTTTAATGGAAGAATATCAAATAGGTACAGACAAGTGTTCAAATAGTTTGATTTAAAAAATGGTTTCTGCAAACTTAACAATTTTATTACAATTAGAAATTTAATGGGATTTCAGTGTCTTTGTCAAAACAAATAAATTGCAACTATGACGAAAGTACCCCGAAATAGCTTTATTGAACGACATAGGTGAAATCTATTTATTTTTAAAGATATTATATGCCATGTTCTCTCTTCTCTTTTAAGAATATCCTGAAACTCGAAGATTAAGGTGGATAAAACTTTTTCACGTAAGAATCGTGACAATTTTTCACGCAAATATTCGTCAGTAAATTTTTCATAGACGTTTTGCGCTTCCACGCGCAAGCACATGCGAACATTACCGAAATACAATGAATTCGTGAAGATTCATGCATGCGAGAGGATTAGCGAGATCTCTTGATCTGCTAGGCAGCAGATCAGAAGTGTATCGCGCGATCTCTACGTTCCGACGAGTCGGCGTCGTGCTGAAAAATTAGAATCAGCTCCAGCGAAGCCACCGCTGGAACCGTGCGACCATACCTGACTCTCTGCCCGATTCTTTATCGAGGATTTCATCTAGCACGCTACGTTGCCGTTTAACGCGAGCTAGGAGTTTCTTCATGTCCTCGTCGATCTCGCCGTCATCATCGTCGTCGTCGAGGAGCGCTTTCTGAGAGCTCTGCCGTGACAACGTCTCGCTTGACGACGTCGTCGTGGTTTTCATCTTCTCGACTTTCGCAGTTTCTTTCGACAGGCCGCCAGGGCCGACTACTGCGGTCTGCGCTTGCTCCAAAGTTTCTTCAGCAATTTTTTGAGGAGAGACGCTCGACTTCTCACCAGAAGATCTCTGTTTCGAGAATCCTTCTTCTTCCACAGCGGCGCTCGGTCGCGCGAGAGTACTCTCCGCAACTTTCTTTGCAGGGCTCACGTCATCGATCATCGCACTTTGGCTGGGCAAGTTCAGCTCCTTCGTGTTCAGGCTTTCTCGTTCCAGCGTTTGGTTCGACAACACCGCTGACGACGGCTCCTCGCAGGAGCGCTCCTCGACGATAGTCTCTGCTACTCTGGAGACCTTGTGCAGCCTGATGTCTTCCGACGTCGCGTTGAAGCAGACCTCATCGAGGACACTGTTCGTCGTTCGCTGATCCTCCGGCAAGTCAGTCGGCTGCATGTCTTCCGTACTGACGTCCCGCGAAAGCGCCTTCAAGGTCGACTCGTCGTCTGACACGGACATGATCGTGACGCCCCGATTAACCGCCAAGTTCGACCGTTTCTCCTCGGTCTCTGAGAACTCCTCGATCAGCACGCCGTTCTGCGGCTTTGAGCTCTCTTCTTGCACAGTATAAGCATATGAAGCGATTTCCTCAACACGGGGTTCCGAGTCGACACCGAACTCCCGACACTCGACCTTGGTCGCCGTCATCTTGCTGATTGTATGACTTTCGTCGGGACCTGCGAACCCGCCTGACCTCGTACCTTCGACCACTAATAGCGACGTTTCGTCGTCATTTTCGTCGTCTTCGTCCTTGTCGTCGTCGTCATACGCGCGATTCCCGTAATCCTCTAATTTCCTCACTTAACCGCGAAAGCACTTTTGAATACACACGCTTAGTTTTCAGGAAGCGCAATGCAGTTTCATGTGACTGTTTCGTCTATTTGTGTGACTGTCATGTGATGGTTCATTGTCGAGGGTGAACACCGTGTACGCGTCCGGACAACGCGAAGGTCTGAGAGACTCCTAGACTGAGAAAATAAAGCAGCTGAATGAGCTAAATCGCGACGATCACCTCGTTCGAAGGAATGTTCTGTCCACTGAAGAAATTACACGGACATCAGTTGGCTTTTACTTGCTCTTTTATCCTCAATATTGATTGTATAGTTATTCGAGCAATTTTTATTTGTCCACGCAAAGTCTCGTTCACTCCAATACTTTTTTCTCAGTGTAGGCCGTACCATAAGAGACTTCTCGAACCTTTACATCGCTCGGTTGTCAAAAGAGTAAAGGATGCGTACGTTTTTTTTTTCCAACGTCGTGTATTACCTGTATGTGGGATTACCTGTGAGTATAGCTTCGTGAGATGTCGTGGAGGCCACAGAGATTGTGATCGTTTCATTGTCCCCTTGAATTACTCGGACGTTTTGTCTCTCCAGTGTGACGCGACCTAAATTTATAGCAGACATTGTTTCGCCGCATTGTTTGAATCACCGTCAAAGCGACTCTTAATCAGATACCTATTCGACACAGTTAAGTGACACAGTAAGCTACGCTAACGGACTTGCCGCGAGTTTACGAGTAATGTTAATTAATCACGAGCTCGTCAGCCAAGTGCTACGTGTGTTTGGTGCGTGTCGGTACGTGTGGCAAATTACGATGCGTCATGTAGATCTCTACCTAACTTTCTACATAACTTTTGGGATTCAACTCAAGCGACGATCAAGGGACGATAACGTGAGAAGCGGTGCTAATTGGCTTTATTCATTAATCCTGGGATGCATTGTCCTTCAGTAAAAAATGTACGGAGAAAAAGGTGAAAAGAGTTTTGTATCTCAAAAAAAATAAAAAAAATTTGAATGAAGAAAATTCGTCGGAAAATGTCCATGAAAGTTCTCCCTATGATGCATCCTGGGATTAAAGCATCTCCCAGCATATGATGAGATTCCAGACGAAGCGTGCGGCCAAGTCGTATATCATAGAGTCGCGAGTCGACGCCTCGATAAGTCATAAAAGCGCAATCGTTCGTTGCCTTCCAAACGAAGCGGTGAAAAAGTGAAGTGAGATGAAAAATTCTATATTCTCACTCTTATGCACTCCGTAATATGGTGTTACCTTCCGATTCCGACTCTTCGGCGCGCAGGCTCGATTGCCGCGGCACTTGCTCCTCCGTCGGTTTCTTCGCCCGCGTCTCCTCTTCCGGCACCGTCACTTTCTCGGCCTTCTCTCTCGGCGGCTGTACCTTTTCGTCGACCTTGTCTTCCGTTTCGGCTACGGAAGTGCATTCCATCGAATTTCTATCGTGACGTGCTTTAAGACGCGATAGATGTCAGTACTTGAGACGTTTCAAGAGAGAGAATTGGAAAGTGTGCAGGTCGGAGGAGCTCCTCCGGCGTAGCACACAGGGAGCAGTTGTAGAGTAATATAAGGCTGGATCAATGAAAAGATAGAAAGAAAAAAGAAAAAAAAAAAGGAACGAAGAACATCGGTCATGTGATGCGTTCTACAAATTAGCCATAGGCGCTCTTCCCATTCGTTTTAAGGAAATCGGGAGAGAGTCCTTTCTACACACAGATCTATCGCACAACTAGAGGAACTATCTATAGAAAAAGAGATGATCTCGATTGAACCTCGTCGTTAAAGGCTGTTGGAGAATATCGCAAAATGTCACATCGAGGAAACGAAGACAAAACGGAGAAGGAGTCACTATCACATCGTCCGCTTTGCATTCGGTACTTACTGAACGTAGTCGAAATACGACGACTTTTACTGCTGCGATTTCTCAAAAACTAGAGACATTCGCTGTCTATTGCTGGCCGCTGTTCCGGCAAATATCACGATTTCGGCCGTCCTCGTGCGATTCTCTCAACTCTGCCAAAATTATCCCCCACGTTTAACCCCGGAACTCGACTATGAGATAAAGCGCGAGAGACGAATACTTATAAAAGCGCGATTATACGAGAATATCGACTTCCCGAGGAAACGTCCCGAGAGAAAATCCCAATAGAATTCAGTTTTCACTAAAGATGGTAAAGAGAGCAAATTATCCCCGAAATAAATTATCTTCAAATTGTCTTCATTTATCACTTGATTGTTACTTCGTTGTCAGCGGATTTACATTCGCGTCGAATGGAGTCGAGTTCCAGGGCTACGTTGAAGAAGAGTAGGTACGGATACTCACTCAACACGATGACCTTGCTCTTGCTGATGACATGACCCAGCTGATTCTCGGCTCGCACCTCATATTCGCCGCCGTCCGAGCCCTTCAGCAATGTCACCGTTAAATCATAGTTCTCCTTGCGTTGGCTGTCCCTGCTGATCTTGATTCTAGCGTCCGCCGACACTTCTTTGCCGTCCTTGTACCACTTGACCTCCGGATCCGGCGTGCCGGACACTTCCAACGTCAGCGTCAGCGTCTCGCCCTCCTTTAACCGCTGATCCGCCAATTTCTTCAGCAGCTTCGGCCGTGTGTTCACTGTCAGATTCGAGCTGCTCGAATTCTCTCCGTATTCGTTCTGCACTTTGCATGTGTAGTGACCCTTTAGTTCGGTCTTCACTTCCTTGATGATGAGCTTGTAATTGTCGCCCTCCTCCATGCGAGTATATTCTGTACGTTTCTCCGTAATCTCGACGTCGCCCAGGAACCATTGCACGTTCGGTTTAGGGAAGCCTTCGACCTCCACCACGAACTCAACGTTCAGCTCGCCCTCATTCGCGCTGATGTCGCACAATTTCGTCTTGAATCTCGGTATGCCACGCACCTGCGAATGTTTCATCATATTTGTATTAAACGATAATGAAATGTTTACAAATAAAACTTACTTGGATAGAACTTTAAGGACAATTAAATTTAAAATTCTGTTGAAGTATGCTTGAGATTAATCGAGGAAAATAATTTTATTATCCGTTTAATCGTCTAATTTAATTTAATTTAATTCGCGAAAAGTTTTGTTTTCTTGATCACATGAATTTCGTAAACTATATTCCTTCAATGAAAACTCAATGTTTCTGCTGAAGAAAAATTAATTCTAAACTCTGAGAGTCTAGAATTCTCTCTTAGAACTTAGAAGAGTCTATAATTCTTCTAAAACTCTGAGAGAAGCTTTCAATAAAACCGCTGTCGTGAGTTTTTGTAAACATTACATATCATACCCTGACTCTCGTTTCGTCCGAAATAGTTCCGTGCTGGTTAACCACTTCGGCTTTATAGATTGCCGCATCCTCCACCGTCGCGCTGTTCACCGTGAGTATATAATTATTCCCGTTTTTCGTCATCTTCACGCGATCGCTCGCGCGCAAAAGCTCACCGTCTTTATACCAATTGACCTTCGGCTCGCCTTCGCAATCCACTTCGATCAGAAGATTCAGCGTGTCGCCCTCGTTAATCACTCGCGGCTCGCCCAGCTTCTTCTTGATCTTCGGCGGGCACTTGATGCTGACATTCCAGATTTCAGTTGTCTGATTGATCTCATTACGCGCGACGATCGAGTACGAACCCGCGTCGGTCACCTTCGCTTTTTTAATCACCAGCTTATATGTGTCGTTGCCCTCCTTGACAATTTTTATACGGTCGCTCTCTGAGATTTTCTGACCATCCTTGTACCAAATGACCTCCGGTGCCGGGGTGGCCTCTACCTGCACGGTCATCGTGCCGGTGTCTTCGACGAGAATCATCATATCGGATTGCTTCTTCGTGACCTTAGGCGCGGACTTGACGATCAGCTCGATCTGCGTGCTGTCTTGGCCGAGCTCGTTCTTCGCTGTGATGGTGTAAACGCCTGCGTCTTTAGCGGTGACTTGCTTAATCACCAGAGACAGCGACTCTTCGTCCTCCCAGAGGTACTTGATCCTACCACCGGCCACGATCTCTTGGCCGTCTTTCGTCCACTTGATGTCCGGCTTCGGGTAACCCTTCACTTGCAGATCTAACATCGCAGATCCACCGACGCTCACTTCCGATTGCTTCGATTCTGTTTGCAACTTCGGCTTCTCCGGATCCTTCACTAGCTGATTCACGGCACCCTGCACCGTTAACTCCGCGCTGCAGCTGATGTTACCTGCACGACGTTATCGCGTTCGAAATAATATTATAATAAAAGTTATTATTATGTATCGTTGGAAGTTATAATTATCAAAGATTACCTGTGTTGGTTTGTGCCACGCACGTGTAAAGACCAGCGTCCTCGGGTTTCACATGCTGGAACACCAACGCCAGGGTATCTTCGTTATCCTTAAAGAGAACCTTAAATCTCTCCTCAGGGTCGAACGGTTTGCCATCGCGCAACCAAGAAAAATGTGGCTCGGTTCCAAGTTCGAGTAGACCTTCCGGAAGTCCGGCAAAGAGTGGCTTCTCATCCGTCACAGTCACCTCCGCCTCACACTTAGCCTCGCCGAAGCGGTTCATGGCTGTACACGAGTATTTACCAGCATCCTGTTTCTGAACGTCAGCGATCACCAGCTCGTAGAATCCCTTCTCAGCATTGTCCCGGACGATCTTCACTCGTTCGTGCTTCGCGTCGATCAAGGTGCCATCCTGGAAGCTGGAAGGAAACATATATTTTATTTCGGAAACTGAAATCTACCATTAAAGAACTATATGTTCCTTAGCAAAGTAAATTCTGATGATAATCGAATCCTGCGCGCGGGAAACAAGATAAAGTAAAAAAAATGTATATAAAAGGAAGCTATATATAATATTCTCTCTGTGTGTTGGTAGGACTCAAGTTGAGACTCACAACTTCATTTCCGGATTCGGATCTCCCTTGACTTTAATCATGAAACGCAGATAGGTGTTCTCCAACAGTTCGGTGTCTTTCAAGCGCACTAAGAAAATAGGAGCGTTCGCGTTCGCTCGTGCCTTCTTCTCCTCCGCACTCACTGTAATATTTTTCGCATTAGTAAATAAATTCTCTTTTTCATGTCGTACTTTCCAAAATCACTTGAATTCGAGTTCGATCTGATCAGCACTTGATTCTTCAAATAAATTTTCACTTCAAAAATTGGAAAAGTAGGCAACATAATCATCTAGAAGATATCACAAAAACTAATAACTAATAAATGTCTAGAAAAGATCTTAAAGAAGTCTTAAAAGACATTCTAATTATGTTAGACTTTTCTTTAGACGCCTATAAGATTTATATTAGACATTTGTGGCGACTGGGAAATATCTGACAAACAAAGTCTAATAAACTTCTTATTTAGAATTTTATTTAGAATTTTTATTTAGAATGAAGAATTAACGTACGTTGTTGGACCACCAGCTGCGCGGTGCAGGTCGCTTCGCCATTCGCGTTCAGAGCTCGCGCGGTGTATATACCGGTATCCGATTCGTGAACGTTCTGAATCTCGAGCTTGCAGACGTTGTCAGACATCGTGGTGCTTACACGATCAGCCAGCTTGTCCTCCATCGGTTTGTTGTCCTTCAGCCATTGCATCCTGGTGGTCTCGTCGGTGGTTAACATCGTGCACTCGAAGGTGGCAACTTCTCCGGCTACAAAAGGCAACTCGAGTTAGCGTGGAAGAGACAGGAGGAGTCGTGATCCTGAAAAATGCGAGAATATAAGAAGCAAGTATATCAATTCGGATGTGATCCTATATTTTTGAGATATTCGAAATTGATAAGGACGTTGTATTCGAGTGATCTATATGCGCACGTGAGATAGTGTGCTATTTGATCATTAAAATTAAGAATTGATACATATAAAAATTGGATTTAATCAACATCTAATAGTGCATCTTGAGTTATAATGCATATAATTGAGTTATAATATAATGAAAATAAAACTGCAAATGTAATGTGGTAAGAGGCAACATTTAACATGTATAAAATAATAAACGACGAAGTGTTATCAACATTTGGACACGATTATAATTGAAAAATTTGTCCCAACGTTACCACAACTGTTCCGTTCAGAGAGTACCTAAGCAAAAGCTAAAACTAGTAAAAAATCTTTAATCTGTAATACAGATAATATAAATACAAACCTTGGGATAGAGAAAAAAGATGTCGGTGTAAATGTGCGTGAGTGTAGAAATGTTGTCGATGTCGGAGTAACTTGGTGGTGTGAGTGAGAAGTGTAAATGTTTAGTGTAGAAAATTACATTTAGCTGATATCTAAGGTTTAGCGATGAAGCGTGTGTGTTCAACCAGCAATGGTGGTATTACGTCTAAAAGCAATTTACTCAGCTGGCTATAAGAGAAAAGTCTGGAGAGACACATGGAAGAAATGCAGAGAATAGTGAACGGCGATGAACTAAATACAAAATACGTCACTTTACCTATGGCGTGTATCAATGCCTTTTTTGGTCGCGTCGCTAGAACAGTAAAAATGTATCTTATGTCCTGTGGTGGTTGAATGTGCGCGTTATGTATGTTTTAAATTGTTTCTCAAGAATTTAATATTGAATTCTCGAAAATACTTGAATACTTTATATCGATATGACATTGGATCCTAGACAATAATTTGATAAATTACGATATCTATTCACAATAAATATTTCATGATAACGTAATATAAAATCTTCTTCTACAAAGAGAATTTCTTCAGTCATAACCGGCTAAACTTTGCGATAAATATTTTTTTCTTTTTAATATAATATTTTCTTATCATTCTTCTTCTCTTTATATCTCGTAAGTCATTAAAGTCTCAAAATTGCAACAAGCATTTCTTCTCATAAAAGGTGAATTATTCTTGACACATCTCATGTAAGTACGATGCAACCAACATATGTATAAGTAATCTTGATAATGCTTTTACATCGCTAACTTACGTTCCACATTGCATCCCTCTATCGTTTTGATAAACACGGGTTTGCCAGCGTCGCTGGCGAGAGCAACTTTAGCTGTTCGATTCTCGACGTTGGATTCTGCCGTTCCGCCGGTGATTGCAGTCTGATAGGAAGTCATGGTTTCCGACTGGCCCTGCGCCGAGGAAGACACCTTCGTCTCCATAGCGGATGTAGTTGATTCCATGTATGAGGACGCGCCATTGCGACTGCTCGATACTGACGAATACTCTACAGGTGTTAGTTGGGACAACCTTACTATTCGATACACAGTACGTTCACAGAATTCGGAATAGAGTTTCCTTGGGTTTTCCCGATCATTACTATGACAATTTAATAAACAATTTTTGAATTTGCCAAAAGAAGCGACTTCAGAAGAGTCAACAGGAAGTTTCCCTCTTTTCTCATCTTTTCTGATTTCGCACGTAAACGTAATATGTAATGCTTGCTCTACACGGAGAGAATTTTATAGTACAAATTGCTAGGAAATGTAAGCGTGGAACATAATTTGTCATCATGCGTTATTTTATTACTTTATATCATTTCATATAAATGCTGATATTTCAGGATCTGAAATTTGTTATTACAAAAATTACTAAAAAAAATTAAAATACTTCTTAGCGAAATGAACTCTATTGACAGTCTGTTTCTGCACTGTTAGAAAACATGGTGAAATTGAAAAAACTTAAATGACACAGAAGAACTATAATATTCTTTCCATGTACTGTATGGTGAGACAAGCCACGTGACCAGAGCTACGACAATACATTCAATGCGACACTGAGCTGACTTATATCGCTAGCTTCAACAAGTTGCCACAAGCGACATTGAATTACGACGAAACGTTCTTATCATCCGATATTGAGTATTTCAACAACCTCATGATTTTACCTTCCACAACTTTGGAGGAAGCGCTGTACCGACTCGCAGAGTATTTTCGGGACATGTCTGCTTCTGTTTCCTCGATCTTAGTCTTTTTTGCTTCCGATGTGTCAATCGCAGTATCCACAGAGTCCTTTCTCTTCTCTACGATCTTCGCGGATTCCTTTGTGGAGGCCTTTGCGGAGTCCTTTACAGAAACTTTCGCGGAGTCCTTCGCAGAATCTTTGACGGTAACTTTCGCGGAATCCTTCACGGAGTCCTTTACGGTGACCTTCGCGGAGTCCTTCGCGGAGACCGCGGAGTTTTTCACGGAGACCTTCGCGGAGTCCTTTATAGAATCCTTGACAGTGACCTTCGCGGAATCTTTTGCGGATTCCTTTGCGGAGTCCTTCACGGTGTCCTTCGCGGAGTCTTTCGCGGATTCCTTTGCAGAGTCTTTCGCGGAGTCTTTCGCGGATTCCTTTGCGGAGTCTTTCGCGGAGTCTTTCGCGGATTCCTTTGCGGAGTCTTTCACGGAGTCTTTCACGGAGTCTTTCGCGGATTCTTTCGCGGAGACTTTCACGGAGTCTTTCGCAGATTCCTTTGCGGAGTCTTTCGTGGAGTCTTTCGCGGATTCCTTTGCGGAGTCCTTCACGGAGTCTATCGCGGATTCTTTCGCGGAGACTTTCACGGAGTCTTTCGTGGATTCCTTTACGGAGTCTTTCACGGAGTCTTTCGCGAAGTCTTTCGCGGAGTCTTTCGTGGAGTCCTTTACAGAGACCTTCGTGGAATCTGCTACTTTCGGCGGACCACCTGAGTCCGTCTTCACCTCTTCCGCTGGTTTCGGATTGCTAGTTGCTTTGGGCGCCTTGGGTAGGTTAACTTCTTCCTTAACCTGCTGTATTTTGGCTAGTTCTGGATTTTTCTGTGACGGCGGCTCGACTTTTACTGGCACTGGTTTTTCGTCGCTCTTTGGCTCCTCTTTAGTTTCCGATACTTCGGTTACTTGAAGGTCGTCCGCGGCGTGTTCGGCGAGAGCAACTAAATCGCTAGCGTATTCGCGAATCTCTTTGAGCCAGTAGCCCTTCACGGGGTCCTTGTGAGCTACCAAAGTGATGGGGTAATTGGGAACAGATGGATTGTGTAGCTCGAAAGATCGTATGTCGTTCAAATGGTCCTTTACTTCTACTTCTGGTAGCTGGAACGAGACGGTTGGATTCGTTGTGTTGTTTTGTGTTTCCCAATCGAATCGCGTTGTAATGCAATCGATGCTCACAAAAAAGAGATATTAAAGACAAACGAGAATTTTAATTCTGTTTTTGAATAGTGTTTTCTTAATTGCATATGTCTGAGAGTTTTTTATCTCATAATCGATACTACTGATCACGGTACTCACTCGAATAATATCCTTTAGAACGAAAACCGACCTATCCTCCGATATTCGCCTGACCTTGCAGACGAGGATTCGCGCTTTAAATAGGAACAAATATCTCTCCTTGCTTCTTCCTTCCTTATCAATAACCGTATACCATTCCTGGAAACATCGCATAATTGTCGCTTAGTCGATAATTGAATGCTTTATGATTGCAACTCTAACACATATAGACGTATTATAATTATTGTTAGATAATAAAAAATGATAAAATCTGGAATTGATAGTCTAAATGCACAATTTCATGTTAAGAAATCTTACAATGCACACAAATAAATGTCAATACATTCCGTACATAAAAATCAATTGTATTAAAAACAGAAACAAATTTCACATTCAATTGATTTTGATCCGTTCGTTCGCGTTTCTTTTTCTTCTTTAATCATTTAATGTCAATTCTTTCGAGTGCCAATATACCTACGTGCGTGAGCAACCTGCCGAGTTTGTGAATATTTCCTTTGTATCCTTCGATATTACTTATGAACTTATTATCAGTCGCCCTGTGAGGGATACCTAGCATCAACTCTAGCGCCTTTTGCAGATCGTCGCAGTTTTCGCCTAATCGGGTCGAGTATTTCACCAGCTCCTGCAAAAGAATATGAGCATTTTTTTCCGTGTTAATTGATCCTTCCTCTCTCGCCGGAGCCTTACGCTTACGCCGAGACAGATCAAAATGCGATTCGGCCCGATACGATTCGGTCCACGATTGCGATGAAAAGTAAGAATTTGCGCAACATGAATGCGACTCGTCTAATCGTCCTTGGACCAAATTAACTTGTATCGCCCTACTACATATTCTTCGATGCGCTTTTATTACCATCGCTCTTATATCCGTCTTGTTTGCGCGAAATTTTTCTATAGATCATATCGCGAAAAGATAATCTGGACGAGCCGCTTTTAGCTCTCTAAATCCGTATCGACGCCCACATACACGTTTATACACGCAAACCCGAAATATTCCGTAGCGTCATTTTTATACCGGGTGTCCGCGTTTATCGGAAACCGCCTGATGTTTTCCGATAAATTTCGTCTTCGATCTCTCTTTTCGCGTGCTTTATTGCGCGTCGTCCTCGTCGTCAAAATACTACGTCGCAAGCACGACGAAGCTCGCGACTATAAAAAAAACAAGAAGCGAATTATTTTCGCAATGGAGAAAATGTGCGCGCTTATTTTTGCCGTGTATACGACTGATTCAAATTTAAGCGAACTTGTCGATCGCGACAAAGAAATAATTAGCTAATGACATTGTATCACACCCCGGGCTTTTCTAACTAGAACAAAAAATATATTCAATCATTATTTATAAAAACATATTAAAATCGCCAAGGTATTCAGCAACCATGTATATTATTCTGTACATATTCTAAATTCAGTGAGCTTGTTGATGGCGACGAAGCAATAATTAGCTAACGGCATTATATCAGACGTCGAGCTAACATTAATGTTTACCGTGCCTATTTTAGAACATGTGTTTGTGCGCATTACTGCATCGACAGCGGCGGCAGTTTGCTGCGGCAATGATATGTGTTAAATAATGCATAAAGCCAAGAATCATCAACTTAAGAATGTTTTGCAGCCGTACTTCGACGTCTCGAGTATCCCTCTGTCTACTTGTTGTTTCGTTTCTGCGGGCATTCGGCCCGCATAGTAACAGCACCAATCTACTTGGCTTAGACGAGCACGCCGCTGCATGAATAAGCTCTGCTTAAATTTCTAAGGAATTTTAATGTGCTATGAACCTGTTCTTTATCCCTTTTCATATGTTCATCTATATATGAGAAGAATTTTATGGCAAGAATTACTAGAAATTTTTTAAACTGAGGGACATGTCAACATTCTCCCTTAATTCATCATCTCTTCGTTCCGGATGTGCTATTTATATTTTAGCAACTGTGTGTAAAGTTTACCGTTAAAATTCCTATTAGAAATCTACTATGTTTCTCAAAAAGATAAGCTCAACTGGCAGTCTATTCCTGCATCACTGAAGAACCTGCTAAAATTGTAAAGAATTTATATGAAGAGAAGCTACAAAATTCTTTCGGTGAGATAATCAAGTGCGAGTGAAAAAAAAAAGATTCTATGTTTACGAGAACTCATTCTTGTCATATCGAGATATTACGGCGCGCATATCATTCTCGTGCAAATAAATAAGTATGAAGAGCACCGATATTTTGTAAGAGTGAATTTCAACATCTGGCATGCTTCGTTAAATCGTCCATCCGGGGGCGGACGTTAATCGAGGATCTCGAGTTTTTTTTCGTACACGCATACCACAAGGTTTGCAGGTATATATGATGCAGGTGTTTCGCGCCTCGTTAACTCGCATGGGTGTGTTGTGTACGTACATGTGTGTGTATTTCGAGTGAGGAGCAATTATGCCGAGGAGACACGATTTCAAGGCGAAGTGGGAAAGCGCTTTAGCGCCGCGCTATTTCCGTCTGGTGCAATAAAATTCGAGTGGAAATATAGGTCAAGCTGTATGTTCGTGTACTCGGCAGTCCGGGATTGTCTCGATACACCAATTGCGTTGGCAATTTTCTCGACGAGGAAGAAGAAGAGGTGTCAACAAGTGCGCATATGTGAGCATGTCGAATCTAAATGCCTCGTTCGTTGCTTCGCCCTCGAAAAGAATCTTCTCGAAAATGACTGTCGTCTCCTCTATCTCACCTCGAACATGTCACTCGAATTCGACGACTTGGTGAGAGTAACTCACGTCACTTCTCACATTCGATCGCTAACATATATCCGCGTATTCGCGAAGAAATAGTCGATCTACATACCTTCAGCAGGAGCTGGTAGTCGTTTATACGTTGTATCGGGAGCTTCAAGTGTTCCGATATGCTCTTGTCGTCGCCTAGAGTCTGGCTCAATTCCTGCAAGAAACGAAATGATGGCACAAGTGATCAGCATGTCCGCATTCGTCAACGTCGTCGGCAAACATTGTTACCGCTGATTATTTTACTTGGCAATTTTCTTTTCCCTCGCTTTAGCTCTTTCCGTCAATAGAGAGTCCTCCACGTTAATGTTTAAAAACTGCAGCGGAGAAGGACGTGAAGAAGCGATACGTACGGATTCAATTATTATAATCGCGAAATTTTGCAATTCTCACACGCAATAAGTCGAGCGAGAAATCTGGCGATTTGAATTTTTTCTTGCGCGCCGGAAATATTTGTTCACAACCTCTGCTCGTCGATCTAGACCTTGCTGGTAAGCTACAATTTTATTTACAACTCTTCCGCGCAACAATAAATCCGACCCGACGACGAGTCAAACTCGCGTAATCCCCTGCCACCGCACACTAACGCCACCAATAATCTCGTATATAAATATTCACCCCGAAGCCGCGATTGAAACGCGATCGGAGATCGACGCTCACCCGGGAAGAGAAACACGCGGTGGAAGAGCACAAACCCCGCGGCGCGTTACCTCGCGCTGACAAATGGAGAGAGACGTTTCGACAACGGCACAGACGTTCGCAGGAACGCGTAATTCGACACCGGCAGCATCAGATCTGCCGTGAACACATGTATTTTTGGATGTGTGACTGGATTTTGCATGCAGCACGTTGCGTGTCACCCCCGCGCGCTCTCGCTCGCTCGCTCGCTCGCTCGCTCACAGGATCCTCGACGGCGAACGTGAAGATGCCGATGACGCGCGGTTGACGCGTTGTAAAGGACACAGGACGACTTGGCCGTCCACAAGAACCGAATCGAATCCGGCTTTCTCTCGGCCCGGGTGACGGCGCACCTTGGCTACGAGTCGGGAGCAACCCGGTCGCCGATTGCTCGAAGGAGTCGCCTCGTGGTGGTAGTCGTCGCCTCGCAGAGGGTGTCTCACGCGGCCACTCGCAGACTAGCAAAGGACTTGCCGAGCATCCTCGGGATTCGATTATGCGGAGATTCTTCACACACACGACGGTGTGCGATGGTCAGCGGATTCGCGGCACTGAGGAGAGGAATCTCCGGGCGCGCCACCGCCGTCGCGGCGAGAGACACCAATACGGCCACGGCTATACTTAGACGCCGGACGGATTATTCACGTGAACTGACCACACGCGTGAAAACAACACGCAGATCGCGCGGAGATCGTCGGTACACTCTCGCCGGCGCGGCTCGGGGCCTCCGATCTCGCCCTGGTTACTCGCCGGTGCTTCTCGCGATCGCCCGAAGTCCTTTCTCCTGGCGATCGATCGCGAATCCTTCTCTCTAGCGCGAATTCGTGACGAGCGAGTGTCCTTTAACTTGGACGCATTGGCAAGCTTTCATTTTCTCACACTGGGCTCACACTTCAGGAAAAGATTTATCGTCGATCCTGTCGAGTTGAAAACGATGTCACACGTTGACATGTCGACACAAATGTACACGCATATATACGCGAGAGACTGTAGAAGGTGAAAACCTCCTTGCGACGTGATACCAGTCCTAGTTGGACTGGGAAGGTTACTTTCCCAAAGTAATTCTTCACCATTTGATTCAGTAAGAAATTACGATTTCAGACACGGACAGATATATGAAAAAATGTATTCTGATGCAAACAGATCAAAGGAGGTCAAAGAGAATGGAGGTTTAAAGAGACGCAGGTAAGACGGTTCTCGCATCATGTTGTAAGTTCGCGTCTCCAATATCCAATTGAGATGTCTTTACGCGGCATTTAATCGAAGTCGCTTCTCAAGGAAGAATAACTTGAGATATTAAACACTGTATCCTGAATCCTGAGAAGAATATTTCTTTCTCAATAGCACGCATCTCGATATTATCGGTCATAGGTAAGAGAGAACGAAAGATGTTCCGTCCGTTAAGAATAAACCTAGCTATTTTAAGGGCTGGACAGACGCCCGCGTATACCCCGCCCGTTATATAATTACATCATTTTCTCCAATCCATATTGGAGATCGTGGAGATCGAACATGGAATCATGCTGGACGATCAAGAAGCGCATCGAATTACAGATTAATAGATGTTAGTTGTCATGCAACGGATTACGTTATTATTTTCCTATTGAAGGAGGACGGTTGTCGATTGATCTAAGGAATATACAGTTATAATTTAAAAAGGAGAAGAGTTTTTTAAATATAATATTAATTCATATTCTTATTTCAATAACGAAACACTCTTGCGAAATTATGATGTTTTATTTTGACATATTTTATGTCTGTATTTGTATCAATTTTATTGTCGACTTTGATGCTTTTAATTAATACTTATGTAATATTAAAAGCGCTTCATTGGAAATTGTATGCATATATTCACGTTCATACACGGTTGGCACAATGTAACCGTTTTATTTTTCTTTTGTTTGCAAGCGATTGTATCGTTGCGAATGTATTTTTAGAAAGATGAAATATCAGTTCGCCTTGACACAGTCTTTGATATTCAATCTCTGATATTTATCGTTAATTCTACCTGTCGTGACCCGCGTGCTTGAAATTACGGTAGAAATACTAATTGGATATATTTTAAACCGACTTTCGTCCTCCTCGCTGAGTTCCTTAAAATCTCGTTAATTGACTGAAACTGAATTCTTACCTCGAAGTATTCGCGCACTTCGTCGTTCGTCTGAAGAAATTCCTGAGCAGCGGGCTCGTCCCTGCAGTACGCCACGTGCTTGTCAAAATCCCTCTCCTAAAATAGAACGATGTTTTATTGCGATCGATAAATCCATTCAATCGTCAGCTGCTGCAACGTTACATTTCTTTCTCGACAAAGCGGACATTTATTCGCAAAGACGATCATTTGCATATCATCGTAAATATAGCAAACATCAAGGAATGTCTCGCACCGCTTTATTATCTCATTCTCTTTGCGCTAAGATTGATCAGATCCTACAATTAATCTCGCGAACAATTCTCGTTAGATTATTCTCTCCCTGTTGCTATTCTTCAATCAGGTCTTTGAATGAGATGTACGTCTGATTAATAACATGTTTGTGTCACTGCGACGGCTACGATAGTGATGAGTGACAAAGTGGATGGATCTGAGGCGATCTGAGAAATTAAGCGGAATCTCATTCTGACTTAATACGTTCTCACTTAACATGTTTCAAATCGCTAAGTTCCGAAAAAATTATGTGAAAAGAATATTATGCTATTCATAATATAGCTTTTCTTTTTTATGTAATACTTTTTTTAATTCTACCGTGTTTTCTAGTGATGCTAGGAATATACTATCAACAGAATATATCTTGCTACGACACGTAATATAATTTTTAATACGTAGTAAACTACAAAAAATTTAAAATCTTAAAATTTAAAAGGCACTTATGAAGCAAAAGGGAAATAAATAAGAATAGAATATCCTCTCTTTGGATCATAAAATTTCATAGCAATTTTTACTATAAAATTCTCTCCGTCTAGAGTTTATCACTTGATCACGAATAAATTATCTTTTCGTTAGATACGATAGATTAGCATCGCTTCATTTATGTTTTAATCGAGCACAACTGCACACGTGCGATCAAAGCGGTGCGAGATTTCCTTCGATGCCTGCAACATAATATTAAATAATATATCATTATTTGTAATATCGAGCCAAATGAATTGGCTTTATTTAATTTCATTCTAATTCATTAGCATAGTTACTTTACTAATGGAAACTAATGACGATGAACGCTTACCAGTCTCAAGAAAGTTTTGCCGAGCATACGTGGTTGATCCGCATAGTACTTGACGCCCTCGATCAACACCCTGCCGAACGATCTAAGTAAGGCCGGAATTAATGATCATGCCAAAGTCACACCACGCCTAACATGCTAATGGAGATTTGCGTCATCTTTTAGACACGCCTCGTACGAATGCGACACGCGGTAAGTTGCAAGAGGTCATAAATACCAAGAGCACTGGCACTTCGGTTATCGGTATTATTCACTGATACACGGGGGCGGGTCTTATGACGATGAAGAAATTAGAATCTGGGGTTTAATCTCGGAGAGTAAAACAACAAAATCCACATTGGACTAGTAATTTGACGAGTAATACGGAAACCGGTCAAGTTAGTAATAATAATCAAAACACGATTAACTCTCTCTCCTTTTCTCTTACTATTTGATAGATCAATGATGTCGTGAGTAATAGGATAATACTTTTATATGGCGACCGTTAGATAATGTTTGTTTCAAGCTTTACTTCAACATTTTCTAGTGAGATCAAATTTGTTACATGTAAAGTCTCGTATGTAATATTAAATGAGGGCATTATAATCAACTTTCTAGAAAGAAGCGATGTTTTAGATATCAATTAATCGATATTAATTTCTTGGGGCACATGTACAAAGAAGCACACCACCACACAAAACGTCTTTCGACGTTGAACTTACATCTTTTACATCGTACTCCGCTACAAGCAAGAGAGTCATGTGCGTGTGTGCGTGTGCATGTGAGGGGCGAATTTTTTGCGTATATTGCGAATTGTAATTGTGACAGAAATTGTACGTTTGTATGACGTATGTAGATGTATGTGCGATATATATATATATAATTTCTTTATCAAGTATAGAACTGATAAAATTTAGAAAGAAATTTTGATGCCTAGCAGACTATTAAAAACAATTACAATTCAATATAAATTTAACATAAATGATATTTCTGCCCGTGTGTACATGTTTTTCTCCGAGGCTCAGTGTTGCGATTGCGAGTGCCAGTAATGGTATTTGTATGTATAATGAATGTAATAAGATTTGCGTGAATAATAATCACACGAGTGTTGGCAAATTTACAAGGAAAAGAATGCTGTTGAACAATTGCTGTTGTTCAATAAAAATAGCATTTAATGACTAGGACGCTCATTATGGAACGTGAATATTCATCAATTGAGAAATCGACTGAATGAGCGAGTGAAAGTGTATAAAATGTCCGACTTTGTACTGTGAAATGTATCAATGAATGCTCGTCTGACAGTGTCGCAGTGCGCTTTCTTGTTTTGCTACCGGTGTACGTTGCCGTAATACATACGTGTTGTGAAAGTCAGCTATTTGTTTCAGATTAGTGAAAATAATTTCTTTGTTATCCCGCACGACTCGTGGGACGCCTGGATTGTCGAGGGGCTTCAGGTAACGTTCGACCACCAGCTGAAGATCCTTGCCGAATTCCTCCTCCGTCTCGATTAATTCCTTCACCACCGCTCTGTGTAAAATAAATTAGGATGAAAGGATTATGAAAACAACATTTCTTTTAGCTTATATATAAAATGAAATATACAATTACATTGAAAAAATCTTATAGAAAAATTCACTTTAGAATTTTACAATATTATAATATTTGTGGATAATTTATGGATTTATAAATTATGGATTATTTATAGATAATATTATAATATTTATGGATAAAATAAAAATGAATTAAAATAGATTTGCGTTTGAAAGTACATTTAGATTACGAGCTAGAAATAGATAGAGATACGTACTCTCGTCGATAATAAGAATCCTCCGGCCGCTGGGACACAGATGAGCTTTCTTCGTTGAGCGCCGTTTGCATTAAAATCGACATGGGCAACCATCCCTGCTTTCCGTCGGATGTACGAACATATACCCTATAAAAAAATAATAACTATCGTTAGATGTAGATACTTGCATTTAATGAGAAATTACAGATTAAAATTACATAAGATTACAAATTTATATTTAGAAGAAGAACATATGTTTCTTTCACAGCTTTCACAGAAAAAGAGTTAATATTAAAAAGATAATCGTTAAAGACATGTTTTTTTTCAAACGTTCGTGTATCATGCGAGCTTCATTGTTACATTCAACAGGAGTTTTTAATCGACACGTTTGTCGCTTGAATTTTATATCGAATTGGATTCAGCCAATCGAAAAATCAGATTCGATTGAATACAATCGAAAGGATGATATAGATAGACATTCGAATGCGTGGGAATCGCGCGGTTATATTTGCTCGACATGACTAAGGCTGCATGCCATCTTGTCATCGAAGTCATCGTCCATTCACAGAACGCAAAATTCGTTGGCGATGTATTCGAATTGTTGTGCACGAGGAGCTTCATCTTCCGAGATGTATTCTCATAACTTCGCGCAACATTTACATCTTCACGGGTACAAATTATATCATCCAAGACAAAATTCTCGTAAATTCGATCATTATTCTAAAAATACCGAAATGTATGCTGAGCGTCAAATAATCAACCCAACGATGTTTCTGCCGTGATTATAAACGTGCTAAACTTTGTGCCTGCCGCTTTTTATTACTGCTTTCGAAGATCTAATCTATTCCTGCGCGTATATTGACCCGACACCGACGAGTTACTGTTGGCCCTGAGTAAAAAGCCTGAAGAGGCTTAGAGATAATTGAAGAAGGACGATATACGATATAATCATCCTTTCCCGTCATTCGACATAAGTATATAGCCACACACACATCTGATGTGTGATAAGAATTAAAATTTTATAATTTACAAAATTATATTGTCTCTCATACCATATCACAAAATACATACAAACTTATAATAAATTATATTAAATATTTTCATTAAGATGTATTCATACTGCTATCATCTTAGCACAAAAATTATTAAAATATTGTCAAATAATGAGATTTTACCACATACGCTAAATATGATTGACGGTCTTTATTTTTACCTCATCGATGAACCAGATTATAATCTGGCGATTGGAATTGGTAATAGAAATTCACAATGATAACAGTCGAAAGATATTCCGCCCGATTCTAGTCTACTCGTCAACGAGATATTTACGACCGAACGTTTCAAAACTACCGATTGTGAATTCAACTGTCCGTTAATAAGATGTCTCCTCGACATTGAGAGATTCTTTTCAGCAATAATTCACGCGCTATCGGTTTTATGGTCACCCTGGCCAGTCGCCAGTCACGCAGAGATATGCCCAAAGATATTATTGTTTTGGACGTTTATAAATGCTTAATCTTCATTAACGTCGTCGTAATTCAACGGTGCTGAATTTATTCCGGATTCGCGCAAGCCCAAATTTGCGCTCAATAGGACTGAACGTAATCACAGATTCATCCCGATCCCATCTGTTTGTCTCGCTTGATACGATGCAATTTGCAAAACGCGTGAAACGCCCCGCTAAAAGATCGCTACGAGATTTATTTCGCTTTCTGTCGGCAGTTGAACCTGTCAAATAAATATGAAAATCTGGACGACATCTGTGTGCTGTCAAATAAGACAAGGGGATTGTATCAATTTTCATTATCATGTAAAATATGCGTGATATGTAAATCCGAGAGCAACTTTTACAATAAATTTGTAATTGCATCAAGATAACGAGAAATTATTGTACGAAGTAAACTCAATGATAATTCAATGGCTAATTCCATACAGTAAATTTGCTCTCCACATATAATTAAAATCTCCAAATATAATTAAAAGATTATATAATCTCCATCGTCGTTGTGATAATCATAAAAATCAACTCGGGGATGCTCTGCGATGTCTCGTGCAAACGCAGAATTTAACGCTGAATTCACGCCTACGAGGTCGAATCGCGACTCCTCGCGGACGGCACGGCGCTTTTGGCCAAGGCTGTATGCGATTCCGTGTGGTCTCCTGCTGTAGTCTTCGACGAGCTATGCGTTAAATCTGGAAAACGTCCTCGTCATATGTTACGGCCACTCCGCCGTTTGTTAGTTCGTCGTTAATGCAGCGCATGCGGCTTGCATGACGCGTTTTACTGTGCTTCGCACGCAAATTTAGACGAAGCCTTTCGGGAACGATGAATCAGACGTCCGTCTGCAAAGATCTGTAGGCTTCCCCATCAGCCATTTCTTTTCCGCATCTCGTGACGCGGTGACCATTGCAATTGATCGTTATTGTATCGGAATGTTCGGAAGTATGTGTATATGCGTGCCGCTGATGGCATAGCTGAACGTTGATCGTTAACGCAGAGATACGGCAGACCGACTTAACAGGTATTGGCGGGTAATGAAGTCATTTCAAGCATCAAAATTTTCGTTGAGTTATAAATTCACCGCACGTAGCATGTCACGTTGATTTCACTCAAATTTTCCCTCGGACTTTCCGATTTTTTTTCTCCACTTGTCATTATTTTCATTTCTGAATGCAATTTTGCATCAATTACTTCATCATTTACAATGTTAAATTTTCTCGAATAGAGATTTTCGTGTCATTCATTTATGAATAACTCCCGAAGACTGACGTCTTCGCCAACGTTGAGCGTATCATCTCAACACACGATCAAGGCCGAAGAAAACGGCCAACGTTCCGACGATGACGACGCTCATTGGTGTCTTATAAAGCACGACGACGACGACGACGACGACGACGACGACGACGACGGCAGGAAGTCGACGATGACGTGTCCCTGCTGAGGTCTTCAAAATTTAATGTCGCAGCCTTCATTATTCTATTTCGAGATGGTTGCGGACTTTGTTACGAAAGCGCAGAATGAAATATCGTACGTCAAAGAGCTGATTTACGCTTTCGGCGGTAAACTTAGTAAGTATGACGTTGCGATCGCGCTAGCGATAATTTCAGCTCGTCGGACAATTTTCGCAGGGGAGAAGAGGGAGGGAAAGTTAAGGTTAAAAGCGAATGTTCCGTCCCCCCTCCCCCCCAGGCGTCGACGATTGCCCTACCTCTGCAGGCTCGAGGACTCCGAGTCGGCGCCCGAGGCACCTCGAGCACGCGGATCCGCGTAATTACGACGTGGCCGAATCGCAAGTTTGTGCTTGGCAGCTGAATTGTCCAGGATGCCGCCGACCTCGACCTCCAGATCGGGATCCATCCTCGCCCTCCTACAACAATGTCAAGTATCCGCTATAGAAAGCCACGTCGGCTCCCGCCGAAGAGGACTTCTTAACATTCTACAGTTTCATTAATAAACGTTATGTCTTCGTCCAATGCACAATATTTGTTTTTATTAATTTGTGTTAAAACTTGCTACTCCTCATCGCATGCCGACGTTGTAAGAAGTCGCGTCGGCTCCGCCTACGAAGATGTCTTAAAATTGCATGATCCATTTTATTAGTGAATTGTTATTAGTGAATCCTCATTATTCATAAATTCTCGTGCTACTTATTTTTATTAATTCGTGTTAAAATTCTCGTCATTCCTCATCGTATATCGACGTTAGCGATTGCTCAAGCTGCACGACGCTGAAAGCGGATTTGACATCTCGGACGAGCGTCCCAGGATAGCGCGAGAATGCCATTGTAAAGATTGTAAACCTTTTGGCAACATGCTTGTTAATTTCGCAGTCATGAGCCATTTGCTCCGTTAATTTTATGACGTGCAACGGCAAAGCGATGTAGTCATCCGAGTGTGTTCTCGCGCAGCTCTCTCTCTCTCTCTCTCTCTCTCTCTCTCTCTCTCTCTCTCTCTCTCTCTCTCTCTCTCTCTCTCTCGTGTGTCGCATTTTGCACGACATGCACTGAGAGAGAAGATTGTTAATCTTGCCATAAATTAAAGCGATTTCCGGTGTCGACCGGCGTATCTTCTGGTTCTAATGAAAAAGCAGTAGTAGCAATATACATCCATGTGAGAGGCTGTTATCAGCAACATTACGGTGAAACTTGCTACACAAATGCATAGAGAGGAAATTGGCTGAATTAATTGTGAACTTATATCGAGTTGTTATTTACCGTGAATCACAGGAACTTGCTTCTAAGAACCAGAAATTTTCTTTCCTTTGATCAAGATGCGCTTGATTCGTTCATGCTAATTCAGCTAATCTTTCTGCTCTGTGTAAATTTTCTGATTATAAGAATTTCGCTATGCAAATGACAAATATCAAACATTTCTCAATGTGTGGAACCTCGTACGGAGGTGTTCACACAGCACCGATCTCTCCGTCGTAGTGGCGTTTTCGCAAAGTCCTGTACAATTTAACGACAGGTTCGCGAGATCTTATCCTCGGCTGTTCAATTATTCGCACGTTCGAGAAGAGAGAGCGAGTACGAACGAGAGTACGGACGCCAATTTTCTTACATAACGCGATCGCTATCGCACGCGAGCGGCCAGATCTTTATGGGCGCGTAAATCAGCCGCAAATTTTCCGTCTGTCAAGATATTCACAAATTCCACACGATACAACGACGCGACAGGCCGAATGCCGATGGGACCACTGTGTGCCGCCGAAAATAGCGGCCGCGGCGAAACGTGCTGACTCCCGCTCACGAGGGGCAACGATCCTTCGCTTTATAGGTTGGCATCCGGATTACCTTAATCAGCGGTCCAGAATTCTATAATCTCTCACACCTACTTACAATCATGCTTTCCAAACGATCACTGAATTATTGAATTGAAAGAAAGAAATTATCTCTTGAAAAATCTTGAGAAATAATTTCTTGAAGAGGCAACTGAGAAACAGACGCTGAGAAAAAGGAAAAAGAAAAGGAATCTCACCTGGTTATCAAAATACGTAAAAGAATATGAGATAATACGAATAAACTATAAACCATGGATCAAATATGAATGAGGAAGATAAGGTACGTGAAGTAGAAGAACATGAAATGACACAAAATAAAACCCGAATGAAATATGAACGAGCAAAGAGAATAAAGCGCGTAAAAGAACACGATTATAACACGTGAGGGGACAAGATAACCGTCGCTTGTGTGGGCAAAGTAAATACATTGTATTGTAATTATATTGTAGTAATTCTACTAAAGAAGAGACGCATAAACGTATATAAACGTGTATAGTCCACATGACATGAGCCAAGTACGCATATGCGTCTGCAGCATTGGGAAGGTAAACGGTGGCGCGAAATGCCGGTTTATCACGCGTAAACAGTAGTCGCGTTCAGATTCGCGACGACGCGAGATCGGCCCGGTTAATGGCGCCTCTTCGGGGTACACCTGTTTGCCATAAATGCGCACGTCCGATCAATTTGCCGTGGCGGCTCCATCGCTTCCGCGTCTGCGAGCGGCAGCCGCAGGAGTCGAGTATCGGTGATAAACAGCCCCCTGGAGGACTTTATCATTATCGCGGTGGATGAATCGGAGAACGGGTGCGATGCGTACGGACCGAGTTGCGCGCGGGTTATTTTCAGCCACGTGGATTTTCGTTTCGGTTGCCTACGAAACGGCTTCCACCCACGTGTTACGTGCACGCCGAGCGATACGAAGACGGCGCGATGACAATGCGCGAGATCAAGGTGCTCCTCTCTGTTCTGTCTTCTCTTTCTTTACCTGTTTCTCTTTCTTTCTCTCCCCCTCCCCTCCTCTCTCTCTCTCTCTTTCTCTCTCTCTTCTCATTGTTTCGTCGCGGGTTATTCGCGCGGTCGCGAATGAAAAATTAGCTTACTTCGCGGAGCCGTCATGCTCGATGGCCTCGACGATGTCGCCGATGCTCACGGTAAATCCATCGCTCTCTGCCGCGTAATCCTTCACGACAACGTAATTTTCCGAGGACCCCTGTAACACAAAAACAGAGCGAATGGAGAAATCTATCTTACGTACGTAACTGTATCGCGGGAAAACTATTCTCGACCTCTTTTTTGGTTGGCATACTTTCAAGTCGAACGAAATTGCGCTTATCTTGGTGGTCGGGAATTGCAAAGTGGAACTAGAATGTATCAGCAAGGACAGACTCTTGAAAATTGCAACGCAAATTTTCACGCGTAACATTGTCCACAATAATTTTCAATGCTTTGTGATATTAAACATTATTAACCCAATTATTAATATAATTGACCAAAGCAACAATAATCACAGCAAAGAATAATATTATACATTTATTATTCTTTCTTATGATTATGATATATACTAGGAGGCCTCTTATTTCCTATTATTAAATATTACTAACTACAGTTAAATACAAAATATAATTAATGAAATATAATTTTTTACTAATTACTATAACTTTTTATTAATTACTATCGTTACCTCTTTCTTTTTCGCGAGATACAGAACTAAACACATTTATATATTCTATCTTAATTTATTTCATAAGACAGACCGACAACTTTCAATTTATTATCGACTTTAATTAATCGATGTATTTAATTATAATTTATTTAATTTAATTAATCAATGTACACGAGGCAGAATATCAACTGCGACCGTCGATGTGTTATTCTCGATGTCCGTCTCATACGTTACCCGCTCGAAAGTTCCGCCTTGCGGAACGATGTTCAATCTCTTCAGGTTCGGCGTGTTCTCTCTGCTGGCAGAATAAACGGCCGACTGTTCGGACCTTGACAAGGTCGTGCCGTTGCTCTCCTGCTTGTTCGAGCTGCCATTGGCAGAACCATCTAAACTGCTAGCGATCGAGGTCGTAGCGGTGAAAGTGGTGGACATCAACTCGCCGTCGATGTCCACCTCCTTCGCCACTGGGCAGCAATACATAGAGAAACGATGAGCGGTCGGCCGATTGAGTCTCAACGCCGAAAACACGTGCAGCGGCTCGAAATGATATATACCGTCCTCGTCGAGAACAGTGTACGCGACCTGGCCGGTTAACACCGACCTGGAGGCCTCTCTGGGCACGACTGCCTGCAGACCCTGTTTGAGGATCATGAAGATGGCCGAGGGCTTGTGATTCCTCTTCAGCAGGAACTCCTCCATCGCCAAGCTGTTGTCGGCGTGCAGCAACGCCGTCGGTACGTCGGCTGAGGACAATAGAGGCATCTCTTCGGGTACTATCATGAGCGCGGCACTCTCTCTCACGAGAGTTCGCAGTCGAGGGTCGGTCCTCGCTAATTCAGGATCGCTGCATAGCTGACCGAGCGCGTTCACGAAAGGTGGTCGCTCCTCGGCCAGTTTTCGCATGATCGTCAACCTCTTCAGCACGTCCATGGTCACTCGATCGTTCGCCAGCGCCTGAGTAGACCTCTCGTCGCTGATCACAGCCAGCAGACTACTCGCAATCTCGGACATGCCCAAGGCCCTAGCTAAGCCCACAGCTTGAAGAAGCATGTCTCGCACGCCTTGTCCTTCGGCATTCAGTAGTTTCTTCACGCGAATCTCGCTGGATTCACGAACCGCTTGGACGATCGCCTTGTAGACCGCCTCCGCAGCCTCTTTCTCGGTCGCCACGTCCGCTACGTGTCGCGACACGTTTTCTAGCACGAGCGACACCAACTCCGGGTCGTTCTTCGAGACGGTGCGGAAAGCCGGACCGATCAGCTCGGCACCGTGCTCCTCTTCGAGAACCATCGATAGCCTGTCGAGAACGGCGTCCTTTTGCAACGGTTGACCAGTCACCGTGGATCTCAGTATGTCCACCTTGCTGTTCTTAGTGTCCAACAATTCTGAAAGCACACTTTGACAGAGGGAACTACGATTCTGCGGGATCAGCAAAATCCTCAGAATCTCGTCCACGGATCGATCGGTGTCGTGGTCTTCTTGACGCAGCAACGCGTCGAAGGACTCGCTGATGGAGGAGTAAACAAAGTCCTGCGACTCATTGTTGCCGTCCAACGCGACCTGACGGTCATTTTTCGACATGATTAGAACAGCGGCTACGATCGCTGCTTTAATCGCGCCTCGAAGAGACTCCATGTTGTCTTCGTCGTTGTTCGCGTGGTTGTCTTCGCCTTTACCCACAGTGGTCGTCTGGATGCCATTAGTCAATGTTGTCCGGTCAGAATCTTGCTGTCGCTGTTGCAGGGCTATATTTCTCGCCAGTTGCGCTATCATGGACACGACTTGCGCCATCTTCACGGCGGTACCGCCGTGCAAACCAAGTTTGGTCGCCAGCGCGAGAGCCTGCTCCAAAGCCGCCGCTTTCGGGTCCACATTCACGTCCACAGCAGGCAGACTCGTGGCGACTTTTCGTCCGACAGATAATCCCGCTTCTGACAGTTCGCGCAACATCTTGGCGTCCACGCTGGTTTCGCCGTGATGACGAAAACGGGGATTATAATGTAGGTGCTGCGGCCGCAGCAGCCGCAGCTCCTCCGGCGTGACCTCGAAACCCTGTACGGAGAACTCCAGCTCACCCTCGGGTGTGTCGATGAGGTCAGGCGCGACGAATCGGGGCCCCTCTTCGGTTTGAACGATCTGACCTGGCACAAAGGTCACACCCATCTCACCGACCTCTACCACGCGACCGGGCACGAACCTGGGGCCGTCCGGAGTATCCACCACTTGGCCGGGCACGAACCTGGAGCCTTCCTCTTCAGTGTAGATCACTTGTCCCGGGATGAATGTCGGCCCCACCTTGGTCTCCACGATCTGGCCCGGCACGAAACGCGGCCCGTCAGCCGTGACGACCGTCTGACCCGGCACGAATTTGCTCCCCGACCTGGTCTCCACTATCTGACCGGGCACGAACTTCGGGCCGCTGCTGGTTTCAATCACCTGACCGGGCACGAACTCTTCTCCCTTCTCTGTCATCACTATCTGACCCGGCAGGAAGCCGTCCTCAGTCATGACGCCCGGCACAAAACGTGGGCCGTCCTGATCGCCGCTGACCAATTGGCCGGGCACGATTCTTCTGCCTTCTGGTAGATTCTTCACGCTCTCCGGGAAGAACTCGATGCCTTTCTCGGTCTGTACCATGTGACCGTAGACCTCCCGCTGCAAGGTGGTGGACACCACGCTCGCGGACTTCGGGTCAACCGCGATGCCGACCAGGCCGACGTCTCGGAGAAGCACGTCGTCGAGTTTGCTCGCTGCGACGAATTCGAAGCCCTTCTCCGTGACAACGGTGCGTCCTGGGCAGAAGAGGATGCCTTCTGGGGTCTTCAGCATCTGTCCTTCGACGAATTTCTGACCTTTCGGCGTGTCCAACGTCATTCCAGGGACAAAGTTCGCGGTGTCTTCCGTTTCCACGGTGACTCCGGCCACGAACTGTTTCTCACCCGATTTGGTGTTCACGTACTGACCCGGAACAAACTGCAAGCCTTCGCAGGTCGCAAGAGTCTGCCCAGGGACGAACTTGGATTCGCCGTTCGGCGACTCGACGCACTGACCGGGCACGAATTCGTACTTGCCGTTTTGCATCTTCATGTTCTGGCCTGGCACGAAGACCTGTTCACCGCAGTAATCCGTAACAGTTTGACCCTCTATGAAGCGCGGTCCATCTGGAGTGGCTACAGTCTGACCAGCGACGAAGCCTCCGTCTGCTGTCACTCGGCCAGCCACGAATTTCGGCCCTTCCTCGGTCAACACCGTTTGACCTTCGACGAACTTGCTGCCGTCACTCGAGTGGAACGTCTGGCCTTGAACGAAGCGTTCTCCTTGCTGCGTCATGAGAGTCTGCCCGGCGACGAAAACCGGCGTCTTCGCACCGTCCGGCTCGCTCACGGTCACGATCTGCCCAGGAACCAGAAGAGGCCCGTCTGGTGTGTTCAGAGTGAGCCCCGGCACGAAGGTTGGTCCTTGAGGCGTCTGCAGGGTCTGCCCGGGCACGAAGATCGCTCCAGATGGTGTGTGCACCGTCTGACCCACGACGAATCTCTCCGCGGACTTGATGTCTAGCTTGAGACCCTTGATGTTGTGCATCGTGGTTTTCTTACCGGCCGGCAAGTTCTTCACTAGCTCGGGGACTTCCTCTATTCGCGGGAGACACTCGATCGCTCGTTCTCCGCAGCTTTTCAGCAGCTTCTCGCTCACGTTCGCGGTGTTCTGGAGCTCGTTTACGGGGATGTGCTGAAGAGCGGTCTGCAAAGTCACATCCGGGTGCTCGATGAGAGGTGTCAACGGTTTCATAATCGCAATCGCCTCGAAGCCTCCTACGGACTCGCATATGGAATTGTACAGAATCGTTGACTCCTGGCAGATGACCTGTGTCATCGCTCTCATCGGTACCGGCATCTTTTCGACCACCGGTACGCCCAATGGTTTGTTCCCGTTGAGCTGAAACGAGTTCCAGTTCAATATGCTGGGAATGGGCTTCTCCTTGAACGTATTCGAGATGTTGACGACGTCGGAGGATCTCAATCTCGCCTGTTCCATGTCCACGTGCTTCCAATCTTCCATCATCTCCTCCTTCGTCTCCTCCTTCACACTCCTCAGCTTGAGCTGCTTAGCAAGACGGAGCTCCTCCTCGTCAGCTACACGTTCCTTCTCCTCGAAGACCTGCTTCGCATAATTCAACGCGGTCTGCTTCTTCCTCTTTCTCTTCCTAGTCTCAGCCTCCAGTCTCTCCCGTTCCTTTAGCACAGCCTCGCTCGGCCCCAGGCCGTCGTAGAGGTTCTCGAAGTCCTCCAAGTTCTTGAAGTCCACCGATACGTTCTTGCCCTGCTTCAGCCTCAGTAACACGGTATCGCAGTCGCGCGACAGCATCACGTCTTTCACGTCCCCGTCCCGGACGGCGGCCTCCAGCTTCGCCGGGAACACGAGGCTGCATCTGCGCTCCTCCACCGTGTACACGAATTTGGTGCGCTCCTCTTCGACTGGAGTCTGCTTCATGTCGAGGAGCTCGCGCAACGCCCGCTGCTGCTCGCCTTCGCCCTCCAAGATCGGGAAGACATAGCGATAGTCCTTCAGCACCACGTGCTTCTTCTTCTCGCCGACGATGAGGCCGGCGGTGTAGTGGTGCGGTCCGAGGCCGGAGGCGTTGGTGATCTTGCATTTCGACTTGTCGTGCGCGTTGGCGCCCAACAGCACCGGAATGTAGTGATGTGTCGGCAGGCCGTAGGACTTGCCGGTGATGCGGCAGAATCGCTTCGCGTCCGCCGGGCTGATGGGCGGTAGCAGCGGGAAATAGTTCGGCTTGGGCAGGCCCCGGCTCCTACCTGTGATCCTGCAAAAGGACATTGTCCCGTGCCGAAACGGTCATTCGACGCGCTTTCGCGATGAATTCGTCGCGCGGTGTTCCTGTCTTGGACGCGCGTCGTCGCGTCGTTCGCGCCGCACTGTCGATTACGATTCTTTCTCTTCTTCTTCTTCTTCTTTTCTTCTTCTTCTCTCAAGCAACCTAGATAGCTATAGGTTGCCTGAGTCAAAAGTGAAAGACCGCGATTATCAGTCGATCAATCGTGATCGCTAATCACAACTCCCGACGCGTCGAGATCTTTCCGTGAGTTTGTAGTTCCTCAGGCTTTCCAGTTTCAGCTTCTCTTTTCCATGACAATGAACATTCGGTAGGAGAATCGCGCAGGATGCTTTGCGCCGGATGGCACGTCGCCATCTCGAAATCGGAACCCGAAGCGGTGAATGATCGATCGCGTGAAACGCAATCTGTTTGTTGAGTCCTCGTTATTTCGGGTGGTCTCGATTTCTCTCTCTCTCTCTCTCTCTCTCTCTCTCTTTCTCATTCGAGAGTTCCACGGCTTCGTTCGACCTCGAATTCGGCAGATCGGCAGATCATCGGCTCTAGAAGCTGAGAGCTGCTTGCCGGCGTTCGGTCAGGAACGACGATTGATTTACGCCACTCCCCTTTGAATTAATGTCCAATAGCGTTGTTTACGTCCGCGGCATCAATGAAAGCGTTATGTCCGTGACGCGGACAAATGGACACCGGCTCGAAACTTGGCATCCCGACCACGGGGATCGCGACTTCGTGCTTTCGATCATTTGAGCACGCGCCACCGCGACTGTTGAGCTTCTCGTCCCGGTGGCTTTCAGTGATTCGTTCGCATCGGCCGTTCGCGCGACCCTGGCCATAACTTGTCAGCGGTGGCGATTCTCCTCCCTCTCGCGAAGGAGACACTCGACTCACTCACACACAACACGGCGCACGACCGCTCGTCGATCTTACGTCGTATGTCTTCGGGCACATTCAACACAAGTCACTGATCTGACTTTTGGAAATGACAGAAGAATCACTCTCGCGTAGAAAAGACGAGGATCTTCCCCGGAGAAGATTTACACGCGCACAGAAATTCGTCCGAGACTCTTCACGGCCACCGGTCGCGCGCGATTCCGCGCTTTTTTCGAATCTTTTGATCGAACGAATTATCGCGAATTCCCGTTAGAAACTGCAAGTCGCTGCACTTCTCGTCATTTCCTCGTGCACGTGGGCGCTCATTCCTGGCTACCAAAGTCGCCGGTGCGATGTTATCCTTATCGTCCTTACTTTCCAGTTCGATCAACGAACTGATCAGACGGACGGACGGACAGTCGCGTTCTCCGTTTGACGACCCGGCCGTCGTCGTCGGCGTTAACCTCCTGAGAGGATCCCCGTTCACGTTCCCTCGGCGGCTAAACTTTCTCTCACCCTCACTGCACCACACCACACCGCACCGCACCGCACCGCACCGCGCAGCACTGCACTCACATCGTTGGAGATTTTCGCGAGACGCGGGTCCCCCGTGAAAAGTGTATCGGCGAGACGCAGCGAAAGCGAGACTACTCACGGCGTACCAAGTGGCTAAGAGCCGTTCGCACGGCGAGTCTCTCTCGGCTCCCACGACCAGAAATAGCCTACCCTTCTTACACTTCTCCAATACATCTTTAGAACACGGAGTACACGGACCCAGATCTCCGTAGCGTCGCGCGAAGTCGCACATTTCGCTGCGGCGTTTTCGGCGCTGCTCGGCGAAACACGCCCGAGGTGCGATTTTTCGAGCGCCGACGGGGATTCCCGCGGATCGGTTTCGACGTCGGATCTTCTGGCTTGGTGGTCGGTGACGACTGCAGTGGTCACAACGTTCGCGTGCAGAAAGTTAGCGATTCAAAAATAGCATATAGAGATGTGCGAACCAAGAATTTTTATGTCGAATCGAATCGAATCTCATTTTTTAATTCGAATTCGAATCGAATCGAATGTATGAAATTTCACTCGAATTCGAATCGAATCGAATGAAATCGAATCGAATCATTAAAAAATTTAGCATGACTATTAAACATGCAAATAATGATGGAAGATTTTAATATGAAAGGGAATATTGATATTGTAATATCATCTTAAAGTAAAATATATATTTAAATATTTAAAGTAATTTATAATTAAGTTATTAATTATAAGTTAAGTTAATTACAAATTAAGGGTTCAGTTATACACAGGCCTAGATGGCCCGTTTTGTAGCTGATGCATGCAAACGATAATATATTTGATTCCGATTCAAATTCGAATAGTTCGCACATCTCTAAAAGCAAATAGTGTGGCGAGGATATGTCGGGGTGAAAGGACGCGTAGCATTGGTATTAGTTTCTCAATCAAATCAATAATATATTTTGTTGCTAGTTAAAAGTTCTTTGAAATTTTCTAAAATTGAAGAAAAAGACTAGAAATGTTGATAACTGAGACACTAAGAAAAAACTGTATTAAAACTAAGTCAATATTTGTTCGAATACGACGAAAAAAGTTTACATTCAGAGAGAGAGAGAGAGAACTTCTGTATTTCATTTAGAAATTAGTCGCTTAATTTGAATAAATGTATTCACAGTCGTATTCAAACAAATATTTGTTTAATTTTAATACAATTTTTTTTCAGTGTATGTAATAGTAATAGTAATCGAAAAGTCAGGCAAATAAGTTTGATTTGAGTTACTTAGTCTTATTTGAATCAAGTAGAGAAAAAAATTGGATTCAATTAATGGGACAATAAACGAATGCATTTTAATTGAAGAAAATAGAATTTCCGGTTCTTAAAACCGAATTTGATTCATAAGTTTGGTTCATCGCCACATTAATTCAATAACAATCTTTTTTCGTTGCACGAGTAGATAAAATTTCCTAGCTGTTTCCGGATCCTTCAAAGTAAAAGATTTTCACTAACATAATGTAATACATGTATAAAATTATATCAACGAAATGTATCAAAGAGGAAAACGGCGAGAAACAGGTAGCGTTCATCGGAATACGTCAGAACGTGCGCGCGAAAATCGTTTTGCGGCTTTGTGCGTTTCCTTTCGCGACGATAAATAATTTCTCTGGAAATAAATAACTTGGCGCGATGAGATCCAGCAAGGAGCATTTTATATATTACGCGATGTGTATCATCGAGTCACATAATTGATGATACGCTCGACGCATCCTGGCCGCGACATACGATTACGTTAGAATTTAGGAACGATGAACAAGACGAATGCGCCGCTTTTGGCTGGCTTATGACGCGCGATTATTTGCTCATATATTCCTGCTTGGAGCGTTTCATCGTGAGGCAATAGTCAAGCACGCGCGCACGTCGGGAACTCGCAAATACCGTATTGCTGTTCAAACTGCTCGATAAAGTATCTCGAGCGCAAAAGTAGCGCGTCTCCGCTATTCTCGTAAAAGAGAGTGAGTCAGACGGAAACGCGCTATCGACACTTTTAGACCTCTCAGTTGAATATCACGAGCACATCGACTCCTGCGTACAGTACTGTGGCCGATAATAATCAAGGAACGCAATGTGTTTGCAATATCTGTCTCTAAATCCTTCCTTACGACGACCCTAAAGTTAGAATCAAACAGTACTTATACCGACTGAGGCTTAAAATCAGTTGCCAACGGGCATTCGTGCAAAAATGATGTGCTAATTTTGCAAAAGTCCGTTGGTATTCGTGGTTGGTTTCGTGTGACATGGCGCCGATTTCAAAACTCGTGAGGAAACTCGTAAGGAAACTCGTCGGAAGGAAAATTTTTTAAATTGCAGAGTCATGTTTTACAATCAATTCTCAATTTTCGAAATGATCACTCGGTAAACCTGGCGAAAAAGGAAAAAGAGTCCGACGAGTATCACCTGTTCTATTATTCAAAGGCTAATTTATAGTGCGCACAGTCGCAGAATTTTAGATTATTCTAAATAATTATCTATCCAACGATAGTTGTCCCGCTTATTAAGACAAAGAGCTAATCATCATAGTTCATTATTGACCGGATTTCTAGCTTCGAGAACCTCGTCCTCAACGGCCGCGTGTCCCGGCAATAAATCACGCGTTTCCTGACACAATGTTGGTTTAAAAAGAGCAAGAGGCGGTCTGTCCCGGATGGTTAAGCCCCTCGTAAACAAGTGCACGACGCATTGTTGGCAATGTCGGGCGGGACGAGTGCGATAAAGAGCCGCAATGAAAAACGATGTGAACGAGCAACGGCGTTTAAACTTAAACGTCCGACGTTTCGACGGCGACGGCGACGGCGGTCGCCGTGCCAGTAGCCGCCGGTCGAGGAAAAAATGAGAGATGAAGCGTCTAAGTGCGAGGTTACATACTTTTATGCAAGAACCGTGGCGATCCGCGCCGTGCGTGGCATAATAATGGCCCGACTCGCGGCGTCAACGTTTTGTTCCGCGGTCGTTCGCCGTGATTTACGGCGGCCGTTAGGTGGACCTGAAGAGGAGTCTACCTACCCGAAGTGAATCGCGACCGACGACAGTGCAAGGCCATTATTGATTTACAATTTAGAGCGGCCCCGCAAGAAAACGGTGCGGAAGTGAGATGTTTCTACTTATTTGTTAATCTGCTCGTGTAGCAACAGTCACGATAATCGCGACTGCTTCGTAAAGGCGATTTTTCGGAAAATTCCTCTAGATCTCGTTGAGAGAGGCGCCAGACGCGCGCATTTCGCCTGTGGAATTCGCGCGATCGTTCGTAATATAACTCAGTGCCGGCCGATAAACGCATCTGGCCGTTGTTGAAGCTACATACAGAGCAAGGGAGGCGCGAAAGGTGGACAAAAATAGACCGGAATAAAAACTACCAACGCCGGGCAATCGCCCGTCGTAAAACCCCGCGGACTTTGTCCCCGACTTCTTCTCTCTTTCTCTCGCTCTCGCTCTTTGCATTAAAAATAGTTTACGTCGTATCTTTCATTTTCATAAAAGCCTCATCAAAGCGGCCGTACAGGGTATATCTGCCGGGCCAATAATAACAATAATAATAGATGCACGCCACTACAAAGGCTTTATCGAACGGGACAGGTGAATCGGTCTGAAATAAACTTTTGTTCTTCGGGACAGATTTCGACAAAGGCTTCGTGCAAGAAAGTAACAGCAACGATTATATACGGATTATACACGAACAGAACGGACGAATACACACGAGAAGAATATTATAATTTCTTTTTATGTAGATTCTTTTTTCGATTTTACAATGCTTTTCAGAGTATTGAAATAGACTGCACTCAATAGAATTTATTTCACCAAGGAGCATGATAAATTGTGCTAAGAAACATAATAAATTTTACAAGGAAATATAGTAAATCTTTTTCATAGAATTCGCACTAATAGTGTGCGCTGCTTTTTTTGACGTTCTATCGTACATTCGTGAAAATATCCTACGAAACAGTTCGACAGAGAAATTATAAACCTGGATTTTTTTTTAACAGAATGAATAAGGTAATAAAAAATTTAACGACGATCTGCGCGTCAACAAATTCGCGATATATCAGGCCGTGACTCCTTTGATCTTCACAGTGAACGATAATCATCGTTGAGTTGCTCGAAACTGTCGATTTGCTCGCCCCGATGAAATTATAGTTGTCATACTCAGCCAAAAGACAATTCGCTCGAATTATCTGGCAATTAGATATTTGACATAGCGCGACTTTACTCGAGCTCGATCGCGCCCGGAATCGCTTTGTACCGTCGTCCGTATGAAACCGCGATTTCTCATTACATCTTATATCGCGTTACGCACGATGGATTTAGATCAAAGTCCTTCTCCTCCAATTGCAACATACGACATTTCGGGGACATACGAGCGATTAATTAAGCGTCGTGCCCATTAGGACTGAAGGACGAGATGTCCAGTTGCAGCCGCGGTACGAGGCGTTATTCCGGGATGTGTGAAACGCGAACGGCACGGTATTCCTCGCGTGCACATATCGTGCAGCGAAGAGAGAGTTAAAAAAATCGCATGGACGGTGTGAGTGAGTGAGTGAGTGAGTGAGTGAGTGAGTGAGTGAGTGAGTGAGTGAGTGAGTGAGTGAGAGAGAGAGAGAGAGAGAGAGAGAGAGAGAGAGAGGGGGGAGAGGAGTGGCGACGGACGAAAAAGAAAATCGCAAAGAGAAGAAAGGAAAAAAAGAAGAAGACACCGCACGAACGACGAAGACGCGCTCGACAGCGGTGCGTAGACTTTCGACTTTTGGCAACGGACCAGGTATTCCATCCACCTCCGTCATGCATCTCGCTTTCGGTCACCGTTTCGATCAGTGGTCCCCAGATTTTTTCATCAAACCGACGAGACGGTGTCTGAGAGGAGAAATATAAAAAAAAGAAATATACTGCTCTTTCAAGGATACGTGAGTTGCACGCGCTTGACGGGAGACGACGGAAAATTTTCGGATACGTATTATATTTTTACACTCGGTTTTTACGCTCAGGTTTCTCGGAAGCGACGGTGTGACAAAACACGCGCGGTTATTAGTTGTCTTCTGGGCAATTGTTCAAAGATGGCCTGTCCGCGTGTTTTACACGATGGACCATCAAAGAC